TTAAAGCTTCTAATCCTCAACCAACACTCTAAGTGATTTGTCACTAGTTGAATAAACCTGGTTTTCAGAGCAGTTTTACTTTTGTCACAGGGAACTGTGTTTGAACCAAATACAAAAATTGGGAGTAAGAAGTTTGAAATGGCAAGTGTCCATGGTTGTTCTGGCTGGAGACAAGCTTTGAAAACACTACAATCACAACAAAATGAAAAACCCGTCAGACTCATTGAGCTGAACTTGTTGTGAATCAGAAAATCCTCCGTGTTACTTTGATCTCGGTTTTTATTTCTAGTAATTTTACAAACCCAGGTGAGTGTGTTTTTATTTACCTGTAGAAATGTCATATGAAAGAAACAATGAACCACAGAAGCACCTGAGAGAGAGCAGAATTATGTCACCAAGAGAACCCAGTATATCTGCTGTTTGTACTGGAATTTTATTTGTGTTTTAGAAAACTGAACCTTGCAGGTACAAATATAAACTATCTAAGATAAGTGGAGTGTTTGTGCAGGGGAAATCTCTCGTCCTTCCAATTTGAATGTAAACAAACACTCGTTAAATTTACATAAGGCCTTATTCTTCATGGCTTTATACAAAACCCTGTTTTGCATCTTTTTTTCTGTTGCTGGTTATTGTTGCTCTTTGTCTCCCTGCTGGAGTGTGTGCACATTATGGCAGCACCTCGTTTCCGCCACAGACTCATTAGACATAATGTTAACCATTAATGAGTTCATCTCTTGCTGCAGAATATCTCCTATAAGTCTACCACACTTCGATTTAAACCTTTCATATTCATTTAAGCTTGTCGTATTTCACATTGCTGCCACTCAAAAAAGGCTTTGGCAGCATAATAAAGTACGCCTGTTTCAGATGCCAGTTTTCCAGGATATTCGAGAGTAATTTCAATTGCTGATCTCTGTCAGGCTCCTTTTGGTCCAGATCCAGTGTTTCACAGTGAGACTCTGCAGTATGTCCTTGACTCCACTTTGAGGTTCTTTTCTATTCTCTGCCCACATTAGGTGTGAGACTCCCAGGTGACCAGGAGTGGGTGCTCACTAACCTGCTGGCTACTTTTTTTTCTTTTTTTTTTTGCAATTCAGATTTAGACAAAAAGTGCAAATGAATGAATGAATTGAAAAACAAAATCAAGTGTTTGGCTACAGATTTCAGTATCATGTAGTTTGTTTGCGCTCTGTAGTTCTGTACAAACTATGAAACCTTATAAACATGTGGTTGAGAGCAGTGTATTCACTTGAACTGAGTACAACAGCTGGTAAAATCATTCCTCCTGGCCTCTCGGGTAACAAATCGTATAATTAAAAAAAGTCTAAAAGCCACTGTCATAGTCTGTGAATTGATGCTTGTGTGTCGTCTTCTGCTCAGGTGAAGATGTGTACATCAGCTTATATGGGTCCTGTGAAGAACTGGACATCCGTCTGGTACCTGACTCTGCCCGGCTGACTGACACCTACATCTCTATGGCCAGTGGACACAAAGTGTCGCTCACCAACAGCAGCAACACAACTCTTCAGTACTGTTGGACAGTGTTGCCCAGCCAGCAACAGGAGGACCAGAGCCTATTGAGGTATACATGGATGCTCACAAACTATTATAACACAGGTAATAGAGGTTTTTCATTAGAGAAGTTGGGTCTGTATCCGCTCCACTTCCCTCTCTGTGTTTCTCTCTGTACATGTAGGATTCCCTGCTGGGTTGTATTTCTTTTTATCAAAGCACATGTTGCCAGAAATAGCTCCATCACTCTCCTTTCTGACGGCAACACTTTGTTCTTCTGCTCACCTCTTTTTCCTCTCTGACCCTGCCCATTCACCTCTTTATTTTACTTTTCACCTTCTCACTCCTCGCTCTCTTCAGGGAGAGCTCGGTGCTCCGGCAGAAGGAGGGGGTGGAGGAGGAGGGGGAGCGGCTGCTTTTTCAACACGAGTCCGACCCAGTGCTCCATTACCTCCCGCTGCTGTCCAGAGCCTTGCAGGAATGCAGAACCCAGGCTGCAAAGGACTGTCTGCTGGCCCTCTCACACAGCTGCATCACCATGGACCCAGTGGTGTGTTTGTGTTTTCCCGTCTTTGCATGTCATTTCCCTTTCACACAACTCATTAGTTGACCATAATTGTCCTCACAGTGCCTATGGCTTCTTTTCTCTGTGCTGCAGAGATAATAACTTCCCCTATATGCGTACATATTAATGCTGAGGGGGTCAACAGCCTCGTCTGAGCTGGCAGGGACCCAGTCGCTTGTCCAAGAGCACTTAAGAATTAGCCAATTTCAGCATGATAATTTACGTCAGAGAACATCACATCTGCCAAACATCAGGATGTAATTATTGTTACTATGAGTAGTTAGCATGCTAATGTTAGTATTTACCTCTGGTTAAATACAGCAAACATGGTTGTCCACTCTTGTTATGGGTTGCACGGGATGTTTGGTTAGGACGGTTCTTGCTAAAGGCTACACCATCAACATAGTGACTGTAAGGAAAGAAATTCGTTAATGAGATCTAAGATTATATGTGTCACAAAGAGTTATGGTTCAGCTCTGCTTTTTCATTATCAGCAGCATCATCGGGTCAAAGTATTTAGATTTATTAGCGAATACCTGCATCAACCTCATCTGTATGTTGTGTTTGCTGCAAATTAGCAAATTTAGCACAATAGTTCACTTTGGAGAACATGATGAACGTCATACTTGCCAAACATCACTATGTTATTGTTGTCACTGCAAGCATGTTAGGATGCTAATGTTAGCATTGAGCTCTGGTTAAATACAGTGACCATGGCTGTCCACTCTTATGTGTTGCACAGGGTGGTTTTGCTAAATGCTACATCACCAATGCTGTAAGGAAAGAAAAAAATAATTTGTTGATGAGACCTAAGATTATATGTGTCACAAAGAGTTAAGATTCAGCTCTGCTTTTGCATGTAAATCCCCTTTGACTCCTCTGTGACAGGAGGGTCACAGACTGGGCCTTCTCTGCCCAGGGACCTTCAGGTAGCCTGACCTGTTCTGACACCTTCACCTCCCCCCTTCTCTGCCAGTGTCTCCTCTGCTTAACTCAGCTGGGCTCCCTGGACAGAGAGAGAGAGGAGACAGATAAAAACAGAGAGAGAAGCTGTGGGAGAGAGAGAGAGAGAGTAAACAGTCTGTAGGCCAGTCACAACACAAACTTTAGGAGGGCATTTATAAGAGAAATGCTCAGCAGTCTTCACACACATACACCCACACACAGACACACACACACAGGTTATGGGTGTGAGCTGAGCCAGAATAACGAATCAGTCACCTCCCATGTTATTTTTTACTCCACATCTGAGGCCTGTACTACGAAACAGGATTTTTTTTCTAACTTTAGGTTGGGATTATTCCTCCACAATTCACCAGATGCCCCACTCCTGACCATCTTCAATCTGACAGATTTTATTTTATTTTTTTTTAAAGTGGTGAATATTGATTGAGTTGACGATGTGTAAAATCTGGGCTCATAGCGAACATTAGTTTTTGAGTAAAAATTCTTACAGAAGGTGAAGTCAAGTCGATTTTTACATCATTTTCTTTGGCCAATCGTTAGAGCAATGCTTCAAGTGCCACAACTTGAGAAATCATGTACTTTAAGTCCTCAAATTTTGCAAGCTCAGTGATATGTACATGTGGTTTTCAATGATACAACTCAGCTTTGATAGAACAATAAAAATCAGTTATATGATGGTGGAAACTTGGTGAAAAAAAGTGTCTGCAGTTTTTGCTATTCTGATATTCCACCAACCATGATCGAAGAAACAGCAACAAGGTGCCAAAAATTGGTGATATTTACAGACGTGCAAAAACCATCAGTATTTACAATAAGGTGCAAATTGGTGGTATTTACATTAAACTAGAATGTAGTAGAATGTTAAGCTCCTCGTTTTCACCTCAAACATCGCTTATTACCAGGGTACATCCCCTTTGTAACCTATGCTGAACACCAAACCCGCTCCAGAACACTTTACGTTCTATGTGACAGATCGATGCGTACCAAAAACACACCACCTCTTTGCATAAATAGCATCCACAATACTGGAAGATCCAGGGAAGCTCAATGTACAGACAGTGAGAGGAGAAGATTGGTGTTTTTAGAGCTGCTAGTGATTTCAAAGTCAAATTTTTGTTCTATATGCCTTTGTAGAATGATATAATCCAAAACTGATTTAAACGCTAAAGCCGTATTCTGGTTGACCTTATAAGATTTGCAATAGGTTTACTTTTGGTACGTACAGTTTGATGTTTTTATATTTGTTCTTTACTTGCTCCCACACTGCCAGGGTTGCGTCTAAAAGAATAAAACTGTCTTACCCACGCTCTGATAATTTGGTGGTTATATCAATCAGTCTTTAACAGTCACACAGTTTGCAGGTTTTTGACAGCTTTCACTTCTGCTTTAGCTGCTGCAGCGATGTATTTCAGTCTGTATTGTGTTTTCTAAATCTTTGTATTTCTCTATTGTATTTATATATATTTTATAGCTTCATGTCAATGTCTGTCCTGACTGTAGATGTTGCATGATGTGAAGCCATCTAACAAAAAAGATCCCTGAGGTGTTTTGAACTTGCTTCGCAGGACACTCTCTTCTAATATTTGCGTGAACAGAGCATGTGAATATCTGTTTTATATTGTTTCACTTAATCATTCTTGTCTTCATGTGGTTCAGGAGGGTGAAATCTGGCCCGGCACCACAGCAAACTTCCACGTTGTGTTCAAGCCCGAGGAGGCCAAACTTTACCAGCAAACCATTTACTGTGACATCACAGGTCAGTGTCATTTAGGTTTCAGATTCAAATGCACAGTTCTGCATTTGTGTTTACATTACAGTAACAACCAGCAATGTCTAGATTTTAGACTTTCTGTCACCGTGATGCTGGAGTAGGCAAAGTCAGTCAACCAGCACACTGGCAGAACTGTGTCTTGGTGCCACCGTGTGGTCTGTGTTTTTGCTTTTTGGTGAAATGTCTCAACATACCGAACAGGGCAGGTGTGAGATGGCACCAGTGTCTACAGGAATGAGCCCACTAATCAGCCCTTGTAGCCTTTCTCTCTCTCTAGCGTGCCGTTGGATCTGATGTCAACTCCAAGTGTGCCAAAGCAACGACAAATAGTAGCTTGAGGGCAGAAAATTGCTGTTGTTTTCTCTCAGAGTTCAACCCGTGAGCTGTTGTCTTCTCTCAGTTTAACCAATCAGCGTCAAGACCTGCACAGCAGTGCTTCAGGGCCAGACAGAAGTACCTGCCCAGAGTAATGACCTCTATCTCTTCCTTTAGTGAGATTCTACAGGTTCCATCTGTCCGTAAACAGCTCCTGCAGTGGAAAACAACCTGTTTATTTGATCTATGTACTTGAAAAACATTCATGTCCTCCTCAGGATGAATTTTAATAACTGCAGTGATTCCTTATTTAGCGCCATCATCAAAAGTATTTACATTTATTAGCAAATACCTGCATCAGCCTCTTCTGTATGCTGTGTTTGCTGCAAATCGGCAAATTTTAGCATGATAATGAACTACGGAGAACATGGTAAACGTCATACATGCCAAGCCTCAGCATTCTATTATTGCTATACTGAGCATGGTAGCGTGCTAATGTTAGCATTTAGCTCTGGCTACAGCAACCATGGTTGTCCATTCTTGTTAAGGGTTGCACTAGCAATGTGAACATCCATATGAGAGCAGAAAATGGCTTATAATACAATTCTGCCACAGACCAACATGCATGTACAAATAAATACTTATGTTTCTATTTGCGGTTTCTTCCCGTATGTCTCTGAATTGAACTACAAGCTGTTACAACATTCAAAACTTAGTCATTAACGTAGTATTTTTCGTAAGCCAATGAAACAAAACATTGAAGCAATATAGGCGACATTTTAATCACCAAATCCAAGGTGGCACTTGTGAAGCGCCAGATATCTTTCACAGTTCCTCCTTTGTGGCTGTACTTTTTGCCACAACACAATACTTTTTGTCTATTTTAGTCTTAAACACATAATAAATGAGCTGGCAAAATGGTGTCTTATCACAGTTTGTCTTTTGTGTCCAACTTATCTTTTTAATGTTAGGATGAGATTAAGTGTATAAGAGCAGGATTTAGGATCTCAATATAACAAACTACAGGCTGGATTAAAGGTCAACCTAAGAATGTGTAATAAGGTTTACATTTACAGCAGTCTGAGAGCAACACTTAACACAAAGTATGACTTGTTTACTGAGGCGAAACCCTCAGAACCAGGGGATGACTCTTTTCTTTTGTTTGTTCTTCACCACTTTGCAATTGATTGTTTTAACAACTTCAAGCACACACTACGCCCCTCCTGTAGATCAATAGCTTTGGCTTTCTCATAAAAGATTCTCCTTCCCTCTGTGAGTTGGTGCAAACAAAGGTTAGACAGACAAGTCTGGGTAACAAACCGTGTCTGTCTGTTTGGTTATTGTCAGAGGACAACAACTCTTTTCACTGATGTCTCTTTTATGTTTCCTTCTCCTTCAGTATATGATATCCTCAATTAAACTTGGCTGAAACAACACAAATGAACACGTGCTTTAAACGCTGATGGACTCCGTCCTACTTGATCTCATTTTCATATTAGACAATGCGCTCATAGTGCCCCAATATATTCATCTCATCCCAGTGGTAGTAAAAGGTTGTTGGCAAATTTGCATGTGGCCTTCATCTGTGTCTTCTGAGCCGGAGGCCAGATTTACATTAATTTCCATGTTTTCTGAGGCAGATGATGACCTGAGCAGCCCAGGTCAATGACAGCCAGACTGGACACTCCTGTGCCTCGGGTCCTCACTTTGCAAAAAGCTTCAAGAGCTTACTAAGCAACACAGAAGGCCCGACCTCTTGCAGCCTTTAATAAGTCCACATAGAGAAAGTAACGTTACATAGTTGGACTAATTCTTCATTTGGTGCTTTAAACTACCTTCACAATACACCTGCGTTAGATACTGTATGTTCATGTTTGACAGAGAATTCTTGTCTCAAAACATTAGCTTGTCATTTTTAATATGTTTTTATTGTTCTTGTGTCAGTGTTTGACCATACAGTGTGTTTTCTCATCTCGTTCTCTTTAAGTTAGTAATAAATCTTTGGTCATATCTGTCTGTGTTTGCCCTCAGGCCGTGAATCACGCTTACCTCTCACAATCAAGGGGGAAGGTTTAGGACCTAACGTGCAACTCGACTATAACCTGATGAACATAACAAACGTATTTATAGGGGAAAAACTCCAATATGAGGTAAGAAACATCAAGCCAAAGTGAACAGTCCCTTTAGAAAATTATCAGTTTTGATAGTTATGATGGGTCTTTTTTTTTGTAAATCGACAGAAACTGTTAGAATCAAAAGGATCATCAGATTTTCAACTTTCCGATGGTCTCTGAACTAATCATGTGCAATTTGTGGCTTGATTGGGAAAATTCACCAAATCTAAACTTAAAATGATAAAAATCGATTTATCCTAAATGTCTCATTTAGAAATTTGCCACAAACAGTTTGCACCGATCCTGCCAAAACAAAAGAAAAGTGAAACTGAGAGACTATGATTCAGATTCAGATTGTGCCTCATACAGTCAGCCAAGACACTCAAAAAAAACTGTTGACAGTTTTTACCAATTTAATTGTCTTTTGGTGCTTTTTTTTTTTTTGCTTAAATGTAGACAGTAGCATTGACTGTCTCTTTTGTCTATCGATATATCTATCTATAATGTACATTCGATGTTACGTTTTCATTTTTGGGTGTCTGCTCTTATATTTAGGACCAAATTAAAAGTCTAAACATACTAATCTTAGCTTTATAAAAAGCGCTTCTACTCTGCCATACCTCTACTGGCATTATTTGTCTTCTGTTAACACCAACTTTAAATGGAATACCTCAGTAGTCATACATGCGTTATCTGCATTTATTAAACATATTGACTTTGTAGCTCATACAAGGAAACATAACTGACTATTAATCAGTGGATCCTTCTCTCTGTCCAGGTGCAAGTGTCAAACACAGGGCTGATTGATGCTCCTTTCAAGTTGTCGAGGCCCGACACCACTTTTGGCCGCTGTTTCTCCTTCAGCCCCGAGGAAGGTGTTGTTCCCCCCGGGGCCTGCCAGATTGTGAAAGTCACCTTCCACAGTTGCGTCTTGGGGGCTGTCTCGGAGGATTTGCTGCTAACTGTCACAGGACAGCCTCAGCCACTTACCTTGACCTTTAGGTGAAGCTGGGAGGGATTGGAAGTCATGTTCTATCCGAACATTCAAATGTGTAGAAGAAATTTCAAAACTGTGCCCTAAAAGTTGAGGCAGTGTTAAAAATCGAAATGCCAAATAGTCACTTTCTGCTGCACTCACAGTACTTAATTTAAAATCCTTCAACTTATTGTTTCTAAAGTTTCTCAAGATTCGTGTCTGTGTCTTTTCTTTCAGGGGTTCTGTCGTCGTCCCCACATTCCACTTCAATGTTTCAGAGCTCAATTTTGGAGATGTACCCTTTGGTGAGTTAGAATATTCATGAATATATTTTCATGTTGTTGCCAAATATATATCATCCAGAGAATCACAATATTTAGAGACAAAGTGTCTGTCTTTCTTTCTCTATGTCTGTCTCTGCATAGGTTTCCCTCAAACATTGACCTGTACCCTCTTCAACACCTCCTTTGTTCCTATGACGTTTGCCCTGCGCGTCCTGGGAGACGGGTTGGGGTCTCCCAGCGTTACTGCTGCAAAACAGGTATCTGACGTGTCGCACAGGAATTGGCAAGGCCACACCGCTAGAGACCTTCATGCACTGCCTGCAGAGTGCACTGTCAGCCCTGATTCCAACTTTGTGCGTGCCATGTCAGACGTCACCTTTAAGGTACAGCTGAACAGAGAATTCACCACAATTTATTTTGCATTTACCTGCAAAAGATGTGCTTGTATGTTTTTCCTTAAAGGTTATATTGTGGTTTAACAAAATGCAGCCAACAATACAGATATGCTTCACAGGACACCATGAACATAGCACAGATCTTGTGTCATCAGTTTTGTTTTGATAGCCACAAGTAAGCACATTTTTACAAATTGACACAGGAGGCCCAGTGAAATGAGCTTCATGTCTGTCTAGCTTTACTTGCTCTGCCCACAACTTGCTATGGTAACATTACCAGTAGCTAGCATTGACCTACTGAAGTGCAAATACTCTTTGGGCACTGAGTAGTCATAGTAAGGGAGAAAGACCTTTTAACTATTAAAACCCAGCAGGAAACACTACACTACAACAGTGACCTAAAGTTGGTTCCTTCACAACAAAACTTAAATCTCAGACACACAAACAGTGCATTTAAAATTATTTAAACCTCAAAGCTTCTATAACGAATATAGTGGAATGTTTAGCCACTAAAGAGCCAGATATTTCCCTAAAAGAGATGAGAGATGGTAAAAGTGATAACCTGAGCTAAAGAAAATGGATATTGAAGTTGCATTTATTAAGGTTGTCAGAAGCACAGCATAGCTTTGCCTTATCATTTTAAATATGTCAATGTTATATACAAGTTGGTGTCCACTGCCCCCCAGTGGCCAAACATAGCTGTTGCAGGTTTAATCAATAAACCTATTTTTGTTGTATACTGTTTATGTTTCAGTGGGTTTGGTTTGAAAGTCCCCCACTGGTAGAAATCTTTTTTTTCTCTTGTTAACATGTTCATTTTGTGTTTTTTTTCATATGCTGGACATCCCATCATTAGCAAAATAAGCATTCAACACCACATTTCCACCTTAAATGTGGACACAATGACAAAAACATAGAGTGAGATTTCTGGGGTTTCATAGAAATGAACTGCATCAAGTCAGTTTGTGCCACGAGCAACTTTGTCTAAAGGAAATTAAATTAAATTAATGTAACAGAGCAATTTATTTATTAATGTTTAATGCTTTTTATTACCAAATCTTGCTGCATATAATAAATATTACAGGGTTTTATTATACTTCTACTGAGCTAGAAGAGAAAACTAAGAGAAGAAGGGAGAGACGAGATATCTTGCTCCTGTTTGATTCCCTGTACTTTGTTAACAAAGCCAGTCGAAATTGTGATCAAGTTGTTCTCGGTTACATATTTTTCTTTTTCTTGCACGAGACATAATCCCATTTTTTAAAAATATGCTCTCAAGTTAGCCAGTAGTCTTTACCAAGGAGGTCTGCTGTAGATAATAACACCAATACATCTGTCAGTTTATCGTACAGTCTATCAGGGTAACTCTTCATGGTTTTCCTTTTAACTTCTGCCACTGCTTGTCCTCTCCACTGGACTTGTCGCGGTCTCATACGATGTGTTTCTAATATATGCACAGGTGACGCTGTGCTCCAACACGGTGAAGAGATACCGGCTGGGGCTGACAGTGGACGTTGAAGGTGTTGGGAGGGAAATCCTGACTCTGCCCATCAACGCCAGGTTAGACACACTTACAACTGTGAACACAAACTCTGTAATGTGCAACCATAAACCTCTTCTAGTTTAGTTTTGTTGTGTCTCACAAGCTGCAGCAGAATGAGTATAGCTTTGCACATTAAAGGCCATGAACACAGATTACTGGGTCAGTTTTTTTCAGTATTTTTTCTCTTGTGCCATAACACTGTTTGATCTTTTTTTCACTGCGAAAAGACACTTAATAAAAAATGAATGAATAAAAATTAATCATCATCCCGCTGTTCCAGTAGGGTGGAATATAATCTCTTCTTCTAAAAGGAAGTGTTGAATATGAATAATATGTTTTGACAGAAGACTAATATAATATGACATGAAGTATTTTCTTGATGTGAATCCCACACTCTATTTACTCGTGTTTTACTTGAGTTTTCCCAATTAGGACAACCTTATAATTGTATTTTATAATATATATGCTATATAGTTTACAGGGAAATGGTGTACGTTTTACTTCACTACATCTATTTGGGAGCTTTGATTACAACTTCCTTTTAAGATTAAGGTTTTACATGCAAAAGGTATGAATAATTGATAAAATACAATTACAAACTACACTGCCAGTTGGTAATTTTGCATACAGTCGAGCTGCTCAGAGGTGGGTTTTTGTTGCAGACCTGCATGTACGACACCTCCATTCACACTTGTGTCACAAGTTGCCATCATCCTTTTTTCCAGAAGTAAAGTAGCCTTTTTTTTCCTGCCAGTAACCTCTGCTGCGCTTCTTTCGGTCTGTTCTGATGCTTTGACAAGTCGTGAATATGGTCCATTGAACTTGCATACAGGTGTCGACAAATCAGTGGAGGATGTGTTAAATATTCAGAACCTCGTTTGCATAATAATACAATGGAATGTCACCTGCACCATCACTCAGAGTAGGGCAACGGCAATCTGACTTCCTCACCGTCATTGTAAATTTATGAATCGGTTCTAATTAATAGACTTCAGTTTTGGCATCATGCAACGCAATTACTGTTGAATTCATAAATAAGCCTCTGATCTTTTCCCCTCTCCTCCTCTCTCTGTTTTCGTCCCTCTGCTTCTCTGTTTCATCCGTTTTTTTCCCTCTTTGTTGATAGGTGCGTTGTGCCTGAGATTGTGGCAAAGCCTTCAGTGTTGGACTTTCAAAGGTGCTTCCTCGATCACCCCTACGACCAGTCAGTGCAGCTGACCAACCCCAGCAACATGGCTGCCTGCTATGGCATACTGGATCAGGTGAAGTAGACCACTGTGGCAACTGAACCCATGTTTGTGTGTTTACTGTACATGTATGTGGCAGGCGAGAGATACTATAATTAGACAAAAAAAACCCCCAAAAAACTAAGGCCCATGCATTCATATTTGAAAGTATGATTCAGTAGAGACTCATTAAACAACTGATACCACTAACTGGCAATATAATATAACGCTGCAACCACAAGACTGTTAGCTTAGCTTAGCAAGACTGGAAATAGGTTAACGGCTCTCTTGGCCACCTGCCAGCACTTCTTCGGCTGAATAACTAGCATTTTATATCTAATTTGTAAAGGACAGGCTCACCACAGGTCTATAGTGACACTAAAGGAGCTATTGGTCACTGCTGGTCATGAAGAGATCCCTTCTTAATGCAATACTAGTGAGAGTAATGAGAGACAAATGTTTTCCTCCCAGCGTTGTTTTTTTTTGCTTAGCTCAGAGATTATTGTACAAATTACAAAGCAACCTTTGTAGGTATCCGTTTGGTTTGACTCGGATAGAATGCTTAAGTCTTTGGCTGAACTTTGAGATGCATTTGTCTGTGTTTTGCATTGAACAAGGACTATTGATTTGGCCACAAGCACATTAGTTGTAGGTATTTTCATTGGCAGCATGAAGAAAAGGATTATTTTCCAACAAGAAAACAGTTTCGGTGTTCTTATATGCATGAAAATAACAAGTTACATCTGTAAAGGCCGTTATTTGTCAGGTAATTTCTCTACCAAGGACAGTCTACGCTGAAGTTTTGAGAAAGGTGACCGGTTACATTAGGTGCCACATAACAGCTGCATTCCTGATTCATTTCTAGCCAAAGACCTGTATTTGATGTTGTACCCCTCTTCTTTATCTATGTTTTCTATTATTTTTTTAAATTTTTTTTTTTATTAATAAAAATAATCTCTCACTGCCTTAAAATAGATGTAATTGCTTCAGCCCGAATTTCCCCCATGGGGCTTAATAAAGAATTATCTTATCTTATCTTATCTAGAATGTGCAGATCAATAAAGTCCTTGCCTCTCTCTCCACACACTCCTCGCTGCTCTCTTCAGCTCAAGCACACCAGCTCACCTACAACTCTGTAAAACTACTCGACACTACACAATGTAAAGTTGTCATAGAGGAAAAATTCAGCCATTCATGTTTGAACTGGAAACCGACTCTGCAGAAGCATATTAATAGAGAAGGCACTGCATTGCAAACTGACAGGATTGGCTCTTTAGGTTTCTTACATATGTTACATCATTGTTCTAAGGTTGTCAGCCATGGTGTTAACTTCATATTATGTGCATAATATGTGTTGTCACATATTAAAACACCATATGGACACGTTAGCAAGGTAGAAAACTTGATTTCACCTCTAACCAGCTCTGTCTTTTCTGTACAGTCGTAAGAGTGGCATTAATCTTCTCATGTAATTTGCCAAGTAATTTGTCATCTTGGGCTTGCGGTATAACTAATCCACATTTTCTACATTTTTGTTGACATTTTATAGATTTTTTAAAAATCTATGACTTGAGAATAGGGAACTAATGGTGAAAATATTCCTTGGTTGTAGCCCTAAATCACCAAACAAGAGATAAGAGACTTTTTAATAGTTTTTGAAACAAATCAGACAATAGCATCCCACATAAGGTGAGTTCAAGTGATGGATTTTGATGCTTTTGATTCCACCAGTCTGTCCCTAAGACTTCACATGTACTGTAGATCCCAGATGACTGCATTAAAACGCCTAATTTCTACCTGTGTCGCTGTTTTCAGGAATATGAGGAAAGTCCCTCTCTGGTTTTTGGCAGTTTAGAGCCCAGAGGAGTGATTCCTCCGGGCTCCTCAGTGAAGCTTCCTGTGTTTCTGCTCGCTCAGGCTGTTGGAAAGCTGCATCACACTCTACGCATCGCTGTGTTCGGCAGCCTCCAGCCTCCCCTGGTCAGTGGGATGACTCTGCAGGATAAATACATTCTGTTTTTTTGCCCCCCTAAATTAATAAGCAAATCCTGTTCTATGACTCGTCTCTTGTCTGTTCTGTTCCAGGAGGTGGTTCTGTTGTGCATCGGGCAGGGACCAGTCGTTCACGTTCAGAGCACGCAGCTGCAGTTTGGCAGGATCCCGGTTCTGAAGGACGTTGTTAGAACCCTGCAGCTGCTAAACCAGTCGCCTATTCCAGCTCACTTTACCACTCGCATGGTACAAACACCAACACTCGCACAGACTCATCTATCAAAACCTGTACAACAGTAGGGGCTAAAGACATGCACAGTAAAACCTGTTCTTACATAAGTTAAAATTACAGACAAATGCAACCTAACATGGGCTCAGACCTAGAAGTAGGATGTTCCAGAGTTTGGGAGGAGAAAAGAAGCATCATTCAGTCTTATTAGTGGATTTGCTACATACCTGAAAATTGTTCAAACCCATTACAGATTCAGAGAATTTTCATTTGACCAACAGGTTTTCTAAACAAGTGACAGAACACAGTACGACATTATGTTAAGTGATAATTTTATTTACGTTTTACTAAAAACACCTTGTCCAAAATTGTTCATATTCCTCAAAAATGCTGCATCTACACAATTCTAATGATCCTATTAATTTCCACCATGTTCCAGAGCATTCTAATACTCTATATATTGGGAACAGCTGCTGTACTACTTCTCCAGTTAGTTACTAGTTAACTACAAGTCATGGCTTGAACCATAGAGCTCAGTGAGCGCACTATCATGATCCATCCAAAAGGAGAGTTGCGTATTGTGGCTGCCTACAAGATGCAGGTTGGTTAAAGTGTTTTCAGGTGCCAGTGGCTGCAGTGCAAAGTATCTTCAAAAAGTACAAGAAGCTCCACACTATGGCAAATCTCAAAGAGAGTGGTAGGTGGCCAAAAGTGATCCCTGCGCTGGCAAGAATGGGGGTGTAAGAAGAATCTAAGGATCGTCATCAAGACCATCCTGATGAATCTGAGCAGTTCTGGTATCAACAACTCAGTCAGACACTCCAGCAGACACTAAACAAAGCTGGTCTTCATAGACACCAACCATAAAGGACTCCACTTCTCCAAGGCAGGCACACAAATGCTTGCATGGCATTTGCAAAAAACCTGGACTAAGAAGTAAGCATAATGCTTATGCTTCATGGTTATTGCAGTTGGATGAGATAAACATGGAGTTGTTTGGACACGGGGACATTTTGCCTGGTGAAGGAAAGGAGAAGCGTTCAAACCCAAGAACATCAACACCACAGCAGGTGCTTTGAAATGCAATGCTTTGGGGCTGTTTTTCATCTATTGGGACATGAAACCTTGACAACGTGAACAGCATGATGAGAAAAGAGGACGACATTAAGATTCTGGAGGAAAACATCAGGCAGTCTGCAGAAAAAAACAAGACAATGATCTGAAACATTCAACCAAAGTGCTCAGAGACGGTAAAACAGCCAGAGTCCAGATCTGAATTCCATCGAGAATCTGTGGATGAAACTGAAGACCAGAGTGATGCAAACAAACCTTCCGTCCTCAAAGACCTGGAGATCTTCTCAAAACAGGAACATGCAGAAAGCTTGTTAGCAGTTAGGAGAACTATGTGATTGATGTGGTGGCATCTAAAGGCTTTATCACTGATTACTGAGAAAGGATGTGAATAATTTAATAACGGTATTTTTAGTAAAAATGTCAAAAAAAATTAACATCTCTGAAACAATGTCTCACCATCTTTTGTTCCATGTTCATTTCATTTCCAGCCAGAAGAAACCTGTTGGTCAGATATGGATTCACTATAAATCAAACTTGTCATGGGTATGAATAGTTCGAGGCTGAACTGTATCCGTCCGGCCATCTTCCTATTCACCTGCGGATTTCTCCTATAAGCCTTCCATCTATCTTCTGCTGCCCCCGTGACTAATTCATTTTCAGCCTAATTGGATATGTAATTAATGAGTTAATGAATTCAATGCTTTGTTAGCTCTTGAAATAATTAGTTGCCGGTTCAATTTTAGTCCTACCCCAGGAGAATAAGCGATTTTCCTCAGAGTGGTGCTCTTTGCGTCGCCATACATGGCGACATTTTGTCAATTCACAATGACATAAATTAAATAGCATGATCAAGGAAACTAACTGAATGATCCACTTAGATTTAGAATTAATTTCTTCAATGCAGTGTTTAACAGATATTATACTTTCGTCTTTTAAATGAAAATTCATCTCTTAGCCTTTTAATGATAGCTCAGTTGTTGCTTATCGACTCATTTCCTAGGTCTTAAAAGACTTGTAAGATTGAGTGGCTGTTTTCTGCTTGTTTTTATTCATCGTGCTTACTCAGTGTGAACGAAACACTGAACTCTACGGCAACCTGAGAGCTACAATTCATCATATTTAGTGTTTCACTTGGCTCCTGAGAGCTCTCTTCTCTCTGCGCATCGCCTTATCAGCGTCGCCTGATATCCGCGGGGAACAAACTTGTGACCGGAGCCATACCTCAACGCTCCCGAAGCCGCCGTAGACACCAGCGCGCGTGCACGCATGCGTTTAAACACACACAGGCAACCCCGGTGTAACTGCAGTTGCGTGACCCCGTCCTCTCCTCTGAGGCGGTGTTGAGGGAAGGAGTTTCTCCTCTGCACTCTCAGGCGTCAATCGATGCAGATTCCTCTAGAATTACATTACATCTCGCTCAATAGGCTGACAGAGAGCCACACAAATAGACCTGGTGACAGAGGATCGTGGGGATTTGCACAAGGTATCCACACTTGCTTGTCATTTAAGTGACCATCTGTGAGAACAACTCCTTCCCTAATCCAGCCTAAGCTTCGTACAGTGTCAAAAATGTAGAAAATAAACAGACAGCCAGGGTAGAAGCATATTGGAGCACTGCAGTCTGGACACAGAGAACACTGACTTTCCTTTTTTTCTTTTACATCAAAGGTATAAGATAAAGGGCTAAAAAAAACCAAAAAAACTTGAAAAACATATATAAGCTGATGTCTGATATTTGACATGGGAATAGTCACTGCAGCATCAGTGCAGGATTTGTCTAGTTGGATGCCCTGTTGATAGCCGTAGAGCTCACAGCACATATCTGAATTCTAAACCATTCCGACTTCTTGCTGCATTCAAAAGCAATCAATGCTAATCAAGCTGTGGGATGCAGCAGGTTTGATGTGATTATTGAGATTCCAGTCATCTTGCTCCGCACTCTGGGGAGTCAACCCTGTGCTCTTTCTCCTCATCTGACTCCACCCACCGCTTTACCATGATCACCCCTGTATCGACCTGCCTCAAGTCCGCTTTCACCGGCCCCTTCATGCAAACGCTGAGAAAGCGATCTTTGACTCCCAAAGTCACTCGCTGGTCAAGCGAGGCATTTTTCTTCAAATGTGACTTTTCTCCCTCAAGGTTTTTCTGCAAGAAACTGGCTTTGAATATCCTTATAGTTGATTTGTCCGATATTTTTCGTCCTGTCCCTGCTTCAGTAAGGCAACACAAATGTCAGCTGCAATATTCGAGTACAGACATTTTCCCCCATTGATCAACAATTTACTGTGTTGTCCTGTAGGCAGTGAAATCGCCCAAGCTTCACTGCATCTGTAGGAAGCTCATTTTCAAAATCCCAATTAAAAGTTTATGTTCCACCCATCCATCAGTGGAGATGCTGTATAGAACATTGATTGTGATCTCGACCACTGCTTGGTCAGACATATATACAGTACAGTGAGCACGATGAAGAGCTTTCTGCTTTGTTGAAAGGTTGGAGATGAATACTAGATTTATGTCTGTTTTCTTATTGCGCTGGACTTTATTTGGAAAAATGCAATTGAACAGTCCACAAAGCTGGGAAATAAAATGAATATTGTCTTGCAGTAGTCCTTGTTTCTGCAAAGACAGTGAGACAGATAACATTTTTAAACTATCCATGTGTGAAGGCTTTTGTACAGGGAGGTGCAGATTACACACTGCACATACGTATATCATCTTCCCCATATTGTCCTCCTCATAGTAGGGGTGTATTTTGTCTTACTTATGGCAGGCAGGGAGCTGCTGCTCTTCTTGTGCCTCTACAATCTCACTGCACTGAAATGTTGATGTGATTATGCAGCTATATGATATACACATCTGTCTCTCCAGGTCCATCTATGCTATAGGGTTCAATGGCTTCTGCAGCGTAGTTAGGGGAAAGTGCCCCCACAAGGGAGATATTTTCCTGCATCACATTTCAGTCATGGAAGCAGCAACTGAGACTGTTACTATGCCCCTGTTTCCAGGGGCAGGCGTCCTGTGGTAGCACTTCAGCTCAGACCGTAAATTGACTCAGACTGCGTTTCTGTTTCCTCAGAGCAATTCGAAGTCCTTTTGGCGTGTCGAGCCCAGCGAGGGGGAAGTGCCACCGGATGCCCAGCTGGAGCTCAAGGTTGTGGCGCACTTGAAGGACACGCTTCAGTTCCAGAATACGCTAGAGGTGTCCATACAGGACAGTCGGACACACGCTGTCCGTCTGTCAGCCACTGGCACCGGCACTACTATAGTCAGCGACAAGCCTCTGGGCCCCAGCCTCGACCTCGGCACGCACTTCAGGTAGACACCAAGAGGTCATGCTTAGGATTCACATTTTTAGTTATGAGGGTGTTTTAAAAAGTTCTCGGTCTCACCTGGAAACAACACAGCTGTATACTATAAAGCCTTATATCACTGTCTACAAAAACTCAAATATGTGAAGCAATTAAAAAAACACAGGAGAAGTGAGCTTTAAGCTGCCAAATGTGGCTTTGAACTGTTGCTCCATGAACCTTAGTCATCCGACCTGCACTGTCTGTTCCCCAAACTACAATCCTACCTCTGCGGACACCATTTTCAGATTGGTGATGAAGTCATCCATGCTGTTAAGGAGCATTTAGAAGCTCAAGATGTGACAGAATACCAAAGCTTGATCATTGGTGGACCATGTGCATTGAAGTTAAAGGACACTGTGTTGAAAAATAAAACAAGAACAAAGGGCAAGAGGTGAGGCCGGGAACTTTTGAAGTACCCTCGTAATATTAACTCTCTGAGCCACAAAACCCACCAGGGGATTTGTGAGGCATGTTTTCTTTTAAAACAACACAGCTTCACTATTTTTGAGAGTCAGAAACTCTGAAAGCAGAAAGAATCATCTGATTTTCAGCTGTCCAACAGTGTATCCCATGTGAAAAATTGATATATAGGAGAGCAAGTTGTTGGAAGAAACACTCAGCATGGTGAAATCTCTTTCTAGACTTGACATGCATAGTGAGAAGACAAGTCACAATGTTGTTTTCCAGTACTGGTAACAACTGTGGCCAAAACACTCAGAAACTGCTTCAGGGGGTAAATGATATCTTAATTAAGAAATTTAAAATCTGACAATCTGCTTGACGTCTGCTTTGACCTCTTCATGTTCTGTCAGCCATGCTCCGTGCCAGTACCACTTCAAGCTGACCAACTGCGGCCAGCGGAGGCACCTGATGTACTGGAGGAACGCCGGCTTCCCGTCCTCCACAAAAACCCGCAAAGGGGACAGCTCACCGAGCCGAACCTTCCTGCCCCCCATCCCCACTGCCAGGCAGGGAGGCTCATCTTTAATATCCTCCAGCAGAGAGAAGCCACTGTTCAGCCTCAGTCCGTCTCGTGTGGAGCTTTTTCCAGGTGGCTCCGTCGACATGGTGCTGACAGGATCTTCAGACTCACCTGTGGTAAAAACAGTTTGGTCTAAAAGTGAACAACCTCAAGTTCAATCATTCGATAGATCCACGTTGCAGTACATACATAGAATGTGTCTTCCTGTCTTCCCAGGTTGTACGTGAGCGTCTCGTGTGCCAAGGCATTATTGGTGCACAGGGCTCAAATGAGCACATCATGTCTGTAGACATTATTTGTCGCTTTGTGGCTCCAGTGCTCAGCATTTCCTCAAAGGAGCTGAACTTCTACATAAAGAAGGTTGGTCATGAACAAAATTCACCTACTGTGCTCTGTCAAATACATTTATTTAACACTATTTCTTGTATTGCTCTGTGCTGTATCCTGCAGAACTGTTGTCATAATGTTATCTGAAAGCTAAAAAGAAAATAGTCATATACAGTTTGAGGATTGTGCAGCAGGAATGTAAATAACTTGAAAAAGACTTCAAGGGCATTTTAAATCTGTGTTGTTCAGTAAAAGCTGTTAACTTTTGGATTACTTGTGAATTTTTGTTGGAGATGGATTAGAATGCTGCTGGTGCCTCTTTCAGAAAAAATTAAATCTATTTTACTTAGCGTGTATATGTCTTCACTGGTAAGAAGTATTCAGATCCTTTACTCAAGTAAAAGTACCAATGCAGCATTACAAGATCTATGTAAAAAAGCCTACTTACAAATAAGTATGTGGGTATTAGCAGCAAAATGTAGTTAGAGGAATGAAGTAAAAGTGCAAGTTTGCTTCTTCTAACTAATGTATATTTATAATAGTGAAGCATCAGTGTATAAACTGCATGTTACTGTTGTAGCTGCTGCAATATGGAGCTACTTGGAGAAACTTTATATTCAATTTTGTAGACAAAGACAGCAGATAAATCCTAAGAGAGAAGAAGAAAAAAAAACCAAAGTTGTGATACATGAAACTGTTGCCACTTTTTGCCCTTTTTTATATTGGATCATTGGAACATTCATTGTAATGAAACCAAGTTTAGAGGTAAAAATCACGATCTATAATGGAGGCCTGACTAAACATTGATTTTTGTAAGATGTTGGAGGCCAAAAACATTAGAAACCTGTTACATACATGTAGTGTAGTAAAAAGTACAATATTTTTCTCTCTGTAGAGGGATGGAAGTATAACACAAAGTGAAAAATTTCAAGTAAAGTACCTCAAAATAGTGCTTCAGTACAGTGCTTGAGTAACTTCCTACCTCTGTTTGTCGTCCAGGACAAAGGGAAGCGTCTGCTGCCCGTCTATGAGAAGCTGGTCTTAAAGAATGTGTCATCTTTGTCTCGATCAGTGGAGCTTTCGCTTGTTGAGCCGTTTTCTCTTTGTGAGGATCCAGGAGACCACATCTCTGCTACAACAAAGGTGCACAGCTCTACTTCATCCTTTTTTATAAAAATCTTCACTTTTGTTGTCATTTTTGAGTTCAACGAGGAAAGACCTTGCTGATATTGGTTGCAAACGTGTACAGAAACATGAAAATGCTGTCATTTACCCACATGTTATTGAAATTAACTGAGAATACTACGATGGTTTTGTTGAAATATGTTGCTTTTACTTCCCTGTAGATTAACTTTACCTCAGATTAATGTATTATTATTATTATTATTATTATTGTAGCATTAATCCTCATATTTAAGGACGTTCCAATCAGTTCCTGAGGATTATCTGAGGCTACTTTTCGTTCATCTTTAGAACGCAGAATGCGCCTTTAAAATCAGCCAGTTCTTCTCGAAACATAAAAAAAGAGCCTTTACAGTGCTGAATTATTGATGGTTGTTGTAGCTCGTCCTACCTTCACTAACTAGAAACTACAGCTGTCAGATAAATGTAGTGGGGTAAAAAAAAAATATATTTCCTTGTGAAATGTAATTTAAGATTGGACAGAGTGGAAGTTATTATAAAAACAGTCCTTTAACATTTTAAATAAGTACTTGAGCTTGTAAATGTCTATGTTTTTTTGTTTTTTTTAACTAAATCTCCTTTTTTTCCTGCCATAATGCTCATTTTCTACCCCGTTCAAATTTACCTTTATTCTCAGTTGGATGTTTAATTAAGTAGAAACATTATGAGGTGAAGGAAAGAAAAATGTATTAACCCTTTTCAAACATACATTTTGGCTTCATCAGTCTGTTAAAGTGACTGCATTCAAACAGACTAGACTTTACATTCATCAATGTATAATAACACAATAAACAAAACACTTCATGTAAAATAATGCCAAACTTTTCAAACTGTCCAAAACAATTACAGACTTTTTTTTTTGTTTTTTGTTTTTTAATGATTTTCCAAACACTGGAAAGTTCAATCTATGCATGATGATCATCTAGCTACTACTTTACCAACAGTGAAATTAAAATATCCTGACAGCTGATGGCACTCAGGACTCAGATTGTGATAAGCTGCGACTCTGTGCTTACCAGTCTGAGGTGAAAAAAGTACACAGCACCTTTAGATCCTGATCGATCCTGTCTCCATGTTGGGGATAATTTATAATTAGAAGTAGTCTAATTATTGAACATACCCTGCTGTGCCACATATTCACCTCTCTCGCTTTGAAGATGCTCATATGCATCCTGCTGCTGTTTGATGCTGCAGGTATTTATAAGCTCAAAAGAAAAGACTCCTACAAACAGCTGGAGGAAACAAACTAAACTTCAGCTCCAGTTAGTGTTTTGTTAAAACCTGGATTTAGTGAGCCTCATTAATCTGATCTGTTACTCTGTCCTTATTGTGGTAAAGTTTTATTTTTATGGACAGATTGTACTAGATGTGAAATTAAAGGGTACAGTGTTCAAGAAAGGCACATTTTTTGGCACGTTCTGTCATGTTTTTGGACCAGTAGTGGTGCTGAAATGTAAAGAAAGCTTTCCCCAAATTGCTTCACACAACTTGGAGGACGTTGACTGTCTGGTAATGCTGTTCAGACCCTCAAAAAGATACAGAAATGGTAATGATAGTACCACTGATGCTGTGAATTTTGCGGTAAAGTGTCCTGGGTGCTCATTCAGACATGAAGCAGACACGTTTGGATGCAGTCAGATTCGTGGAAAAGAGTGCATGTCTTAAAGGAGCTTCTGATTTATTGTTTATGTTATTTAAAGCAGTCAGACATGAACATGTACAGTTTGTGAGGTGATGGTAGGGTTATCAGCACCATTATATGTCACATTATTCATGAATGCCACAGAAAAGAGCGCCTGTAGTCAGCATGTCCTGTATGTACACATTGGTAGCAAGTAACAGCCTCCTATAATCCTTTAATACACTGATCACAGGTAATGTATTGTAGCTGTTTTTAAACTAAATGTTTTGTTGAATTGAACTCAGTGGTTTTACAATAAATCATGATAGAAGTTCAGTTCATATCCCCCCAATGTCAACGTTTTAGTTTTACCACAGCTCAGACTTCCACCCTGTGAGTTGATTAAAATGCAGGATTGGAATCCACATTAAAATGGCTTTGAAACTCCTGGCAGGTCTCTGAGTGGAACTAAAGAGTAGCAGGATATTTTGATAAGCCCGGGTCCCATGGCAGGATTACAATAAATGTCTCATTAAATCGTGGGAAGGTTTTTAAAAGGGTCGTGAACTTATGGTTTCGAAGTCATCAGATAATATAACATGATTTAATGATTTTTCATCAAGCTGCGAGACCAGAATCTAAAAAAAGGATTTTCTCTTGTATCCTTTTGATTAGTTTACCTACTGAGTCTATAATCCTAAATATGCAGCGGTGACTCCTTTGATGCCCTTCTTTCGTGTATCTTACCTACTGTATGTCTCCTCCAGTCCATGGTTGTAGGTGCCAGGAGTCAGGCTGAGTTGTGGATATGCTTTAATCCAGCTTTCTATCCTGATCGGGTGTCTCGAACTGTGGATGAGGTAACCATGGTGCTATTTTATTTCTTACATAATGCTTTGCCTTTTTTTTAATTTTTTTTTTTAAACCCTTATGAGCAGTGATTCCCAATCTGGGTTTTCTAACCCCTCTTGGGTCTACAAGATAAGTAAAAGGGTGTGAAATAAATAAATTAGTTTTGTCTAAGTATTATCATTATATAAAATAGTGTTTTATAGATACAGAAGGAAAAAGCCCTCCTCAGTTGAACTGCTGAGAACTCATGTCCACACTAATAAGCTGAGTAGCATTGCTTCATTTAAAGAGGGTGCAAGCCAATGAAGATTTAACACTGCTGGGATTAAATGAGAATAATCATCCGTTGACTCGTTTTCTAACTTATTTAACCAAATACATTCCTCCTTTCCTTGACAATTCGTTACAGTTCCTTGAGGTACATTACCCTGGACACCAACAGGAAGACATGGTGAGTCTGCACGCCGAGGTCCACCACCCCAACCTAAGCTTCTCCTCCACCACAGTGGATTTCGGTTGCGTGTTCAACTGCACAGGGACTCGCAAAGTAATCACAATCACCAACTGCTCACCACTGCCTGTGTCCTACCACTGGGGTTTTCTGGATGACCAGAAGCACAGTAACATCAGGTATGTTTACACTGAACATATCTATATATTGTCAAAACAGAATATTTATGTTCTTTAACTATCAATGATATTAAGTGTGAATAACAACAATGAGCTTCATTTGTTAAACACTTTTCCTTACAATATTACCAAGTGCTTCACAAAAGGGTAAAAAAAAAAAAATCAAGAATAAAACTTGTCTAAAAAGTAAAATTTTAAGAAGAAAATAACAGATTTAACAGTGATGCATTTTACAAGTGTAATTTCAACAGATTAAGTCTTATCAAAGTTTGGGGACCTACCAATGGGGCTCTAGGAACAACCACACAGCTGCTATTTGCTAATCTAAGATGATATCCAGGCTCATATCTGTTTATCTCATTCTTTCTATAGGTAGGGAATTGGTCATGAAAGGTAAAATTTGGTGAAAATGAACAGAGAGCCACTACAGAGAGGTCGTTCAGGTGACAGATTACGTTGTTTTCATGTACCAGTGATAAACTAGGCAGCAAGATATTCAGCGAGTTGAAGGCGATAAGGAGAAGCCTGAGTAATGACTGTGTGAAGCACATTATAGAAATCTAGATTGGAAAGAACAAAAGCATGGACAACTCTGTGTAGATCCTCAAAGATAAAGATTAGATTTAGACTGAACCACTGTCTTGACTCAGTCATCAAAACAAAGTTCAGAATCAAATAAGACACCTAAATCTTGAACAGACTGGCGGAACTGGGCCATTCTTAACACTGAAGACATTTTGAGAGGTCCACCAATTGATCAGTCAGTAAATTGCTGCTGTAAGAAGTGGTTTATAATATAATATACAATAGAGTGTCATCTGCGTAACAATTATATGTAGCATTATATTCACTGATAACCTGATTTAAGGGCAGAATATAGATTTTAAAAAAAAAACACTAAGTGCTGCCATTACTGTCACTACAGTGCAACACACTGTGTCACTGTAGTGACTCTAGAAAATAGACTCACAGTGTGAAAGTATGCTTCGGTTCAGTTTTAGAGGGCACAAACTGTGTGGACCCTAATTAGATATTGTGTTTTGGCAAGGTTAGGGGAAAAAAAAATTGGTAGCCAGTGGTTTATTCTTTAACTATTAGTTTTATTTAACAAACTTAGCATATGTTTTTCATGTAATATCTTCATATGAAAATTAGCATGCAATTATTGCTATCAGATGAATATAGTTAAATTAAAAGTGCAGTCTTTTCAGGATGAAGTGTTTGGTACTGAATAAATGTACATATACAAAGGAGACCAAAGAAGTGAAGGCCAAACTTGTCCAAACAGAACTGTTCAGACTGAGTCCCTGATCAAAATAATTTTAGAGATTTTAGAAGAAATCTACACATAACAAAAGCACTAGTGGTGTTTATATACACCACACTGAACAGGTATATCTACTATATGATATGAAAATAACCTCCCTAATTCTAGTGCCAGCTGATTAGTAACACGTTTTCTGTGTGTTGCCTAAACTGAGTTCAGTCTCGCAAAACAGTGTTAGGATAAGGATTGTCAGCTCTGTCAGCCTATAAATACTATTCTGCAGCAGGTTTTATCTGAGCCTTAAATGCTGAGCATGCTGTCTGTACTGTTACATTACATGTTATTTTTTTTCCCGACAGGAAATATCATTTAACAATCAATACGGTTGTGGAAAAAAAAGTCAATGGTCATCTACCTCTTATTCTCTGTTCCCATTTCATTACTTAAAGAGAACATTCCTTTCTGTGATGGGTTTCGTACTGTAGAATGGGCTTTTATTCATGGAGATAACTGGCAAAGCTACACAGGACCTTGAAAGCAATAGACAATACCTGCCGGCCTAAGCTGTGGAAAAGGTATGACTATAGAAATATCCGAGACAGGCCAAGAAAACATTGATCACTCATTGAAATTTAGAGCATTTTAATGACAGAGCATGAAGCTGTCTTTTATTACATTTATTGTGGTGCAGGTCTAAAGCAGTCTGAAGTGGCTGTGCTCTGTGAGACCTGCTAGAGTGTAGAACAAAAAAAAAAAGTAAAACAATGAGATTCTGAATAGACAAGATTCAGGGACAAGAACAGAATGGATCGCAGCCATATATTAAAGCTGCCACCGGGATGAGCCAGTACAGTAGCTATACATTTAACCCACTGAATTGAAAGCCAAATCCATTATATATATTCTCTGGGGACGATACATTTACTGATTGTGTACTTTATAAATGTTCCAGTGTGCCTCTTTCAGGCCTTTACTTTGACTCCCCGCCCCTGAAATGAACTGTGAATACTACAGTAATCTTTCTGCCCATGGCCTTGAACCAACTAACTGCAGTACCTCTACAAGATTTATCACCCTCAATCATCTTTCTCCCCTCCCTCTTTTTCATTTATTGGTATTCTTCCCTCTTGTTACTCTCCTGCTGCTTCTCTGCCTCTACTCCTGTTCCCTACCTAATCCTTATCAACCTCTCGCTCCTCTTTCCTTCCCCTCTCCCTCTCAGATTGTGACCTCTCTTAACTATCTGTCTCATAGGCCGTCTCGCTAATTAAATGGAGACCTCACTCTGTGCACACACACACTCTCTTTAAAGTCTCTTTCTCCCACACAAAACATGCACTATCTAGCCATGTTCGGCTAATTACATCCCTATCAGTAATTACACCACAGCCCTGGGAGAGGGTGGGATTTCAATAGCGCTAACTCTTTTCCATCCATCTATCCCACTCACAGATAGGAGCAGTACAATACATTTAGGTACTGTAACTTGTCTGTCTTTAAGGACTTTATTTTAGCAAGAAGTACATTTGAAAGCTTAAGCTTATTCTCCATTGTTTTGACTGCACCATATATGCATGATGGATTAGATTACTACATAGATAATAAGTACAGGTACCTTAGAGTAGGTTGAGCTAAAGTCAAGGTGTGCAGAGGGACTAATGCAAATGCAAGATAAAGATTCCTGAACTTTCAATTCAGTCTGTTAAACCAAGAATTGTACTTCTTCAAACAGCAGCAGCATTTAGTTTCCTGTCTTGAATTCCTTTTGTATTGGACTGTGGGCTGGCTGCTTTGTGTCATCTATAGCAAGAGGGATCCTTGGTTGATCCATATGTAACATACCTGTAGAGTGTTTTCTGTTTGAACTCTAGAGGATCAAGAAATCTTAAGAGTTTTCTGAACAAGCAGAAGTAGAGATGTATAGAGCTGATTAGGGGTCAACTGATATCTTTTCTTCGTGGTCGATGTAGATTATTAGTAATCAATCAGTATTTGTAATTAATAAATAATATTTGGAACAGATATATATTTACCAGCCAATTCTGTCCAACATTCTAATCTGTCGCTCTGCTATTGTGGAAAATTTGCTCTGACTTGTTTCTTTAAACCAGTTGTTTTGGGCGGGGCTAAGAGGAGGACGTAGCCTCGGTGTTCCCTGAAAATAGTGACAGGTGGAATTGTTTTGGTTGAATGTTTGCATGCAGAGAAATGAACACCGTCTAATCCACTGAAAAAAAGATCCAAGGTCCAAAATCCGCTACAAAACATTACATTTTCAGCCTCGTAGGTAGCTGCCCAGAGGTTGTTGTGGTTGTTGTTGATTGCCATAGTGAAAAAAGCGGTGGCCATAGATAGCAGAGAGGAGGGACAAGTCCACCTGAAATGATCGACCAATAGCAGGTTTATAACCACAATCCTACATTCAATGAGTCACTTTAGTAAAAATGAAAATCCTCATGCCAAAATTTAGGAAAAAACACCACCAAAAATGTTGTTGAAACGCCTTTGTTTACTTAGGTTTTATATATGTGTAATTAAAAGACAACTTGTCAACATTTATCCTTCAGTTTTGAATGGCTGTTACTTATTATGCATAGCCAATCAGATAGAGCTGGGGGCGGGACATCACTTGACACCCCAGAGTGACTACCAACTGAGGCTGCATTAGTGCCACATTAGTTAATTTTTAGGTTAATCGATAAACTGAAAAATGCATAATTTCAGTTCCTGAGACAGTGTGGACTCGCCAGATTAGATCACATTCAATTCTGTTGGTGCGCAGAGTATGTACGAGCACAAGGAAATACAGTTTAGCATCTAACCTGATACAAGCACATGTAATTGTGTTTTCATATGCTGGAGGAGAAAGTAAACCTAATAGAATCTCTCTGCTCTCTACTATACTGTTACACCATGTGGTCAGATTGGGAACCAAAGAATGAAAATTAAAGAAGACATGTAGGAAAAATGCAAAAGTACAAACATCATATTCTACAACTTTTATTTTACAGAACTCAAAAACATTATGTAAAACTTGACGAAATCACACATGAGCTTATATTGGTAAATGTTAAATAGTATGCTACATGTCCTGAATCAACAGTCTGACCTCAAGTGAAAGTAAAGAAATATTTTCAGCAAAGTTTACTCAAAGTGGCGATCGTGAATATTAGTACAACAGCAATGTATCAGGTGACAGTGAACCTGAACCTAAACAGAACTAACTCCCGTATCTGGACGTTGCAGAGCTTTACAGCTAATTTCAGCTCATTGTTTGGCTGTCCTGCTGCAGCTCTCACTGTTTCGGTTCACTCTCACCCGCTTTCATGGTGTGTTTTTTTCTGACAGCTGTTCTCAGTGCAAAAAAAAAGCCCACACCTGCTCAGCACTGAGCAGCAGACAGACACAGATAGAGTCGAGCTGGTTAATGTAGCGGAGCATTTGCCAGATAAATTTCCAGATATTTCCCTCAGGAGTTGTAGAGATAACAACAACAAAAAAATAAAACAACAACAAAACAAAACTGAGCTGATAGAGAGAGAACATTGAGTCAACATTTGCACGGTGGTGGCCCAGTTTTGCTCTGTAACCGCTGGATGTCGAAATAAGCAACGTTTTGCTAACAAGGTTGCACTTACTGAACGTTTAATGTGGTAATAATAAAATCACTCTTGATGCAGCGGCCCATATTAGTGTTATATTTTTAAATATTCTTATGTCATTATGTGTTGGTGGCATTTTAATGTTGTAAATTGTCAAACTAGTGCTCATTTTCAGCTAAAAAAAATGTTACTTACAAAGTAGCATGTAAATATAACTTTCAAATAAACAGATGAAATCTAATAAAGAAAAATTATAAATTTGTATTAAATGGAAACCCCTAACTAAAATACAAATACAGTACTGTCACTCTTTGTGGCAGCAGTTGGGAAAAATACATGTGTGTTTTCCTGTTGAAGACATACTGTTTAGATAGATAGATAGATAGATAGATAGATAGATAGATAGATAGATAGATAGATAGATAGATAGATAGATAGATAGATAGATTGATAGATTGATAGATAGAAAACAGACATTCATCTTCAGAACGACTCAATGAAGCATTAAAACATAATTAAGAACCACACCCAGGCACACTGAATAAACAACATTCAACAACAGCTTAAGGGTAAAGAAGAGCCTTCATTACTAAGTTACACATACGTGCATGCACACACTCACATGCACATACATGCTTGAAGCTGGAAGTGGTTTGTCTGTGCCAGTATAATTTTTCAGCATCCTACTTGTACTTGTTTCCCATCACTTCTTTCTTTCTGACAAAACCCTGGAAATGAGATGTTTGTGGTTTAGTAGTCACTGCTGTGTAGATTTTTGGAAAACACACCCGTGGTGAGCACCAAGAAAAGAATAGATGGACGAGAGAGAGAGAGAGACAGATATGAGAATGTCAGAGCTATTTCTGTTTTGAGCCAAGCTCTTGCGGAGTCATCATCTGCTGCCTCACCATCTGCTCCTCTGTCCGCACCAGTGGGTTTTAAACTCTTTCTTAGAGGACCCGTGTTTTAAAAAGCTGTTTTCTTTCCTCCCACAGGGTCCCAAATTGTCTTTCATGAGCCCCAACGAAATCCCCCCCACCCAGAAAACGCACCGTATTGCTGAAGACTTTGACCCAGAATGTTTGCTCACTGTTACATTTCACACTGCTGGACGTACTAATTTGTGATTCCCAAGGCCAGACGTGAGACCGCTTTGCCCCCTAAAGCAGCCGTCGTACACTGATCATACAACAGTGCCCCCTGCTGGTTGCATGTCTGTCATTCACTCACTCTGAGCTGACACACCAGCACTGTAGCGTTCTTGCACACTTGAATGCTGTCTTACATGTACACACACCCTGCAGCTCTCACACACAAACACAGACACACTCTGTGGCAATCATGTGGCCACTGTTTTCGGTGATTTAATGTAGAACTTGTCCAGCGCAGCTTTGAGATAGCTTCACTCACTAAATCTCTTTCATTCTGATCCATGTTTATTCAGCACTTCAGTGCAATCTATCCTGACCTGTTTCCTGCTGCTTGCCTATTAAAATTCCTCTTAATTATAGAACACTCTGTTTAATTAACTTGATGGATGCACCCAGTGTGATCCCACAGGGAAGGAGAGAGTAGAACAGAGAGAGAAAATGAGAATCAGACTTCTTTCGGATGTGGGTGCTCAAGAGTTTTTCCTCCACTTGGGTATTACATTATGTGTTAACAGTACATGCTTAAATAAATTAGTCTTGGCTACATTTTCTGTGTCAATATGCTACTCTGCTTCTTCCTCATGGAGATTTTTTATTTGTCTGTTTTCACAATGCTAAAAGGCAGCGATATTCAATTAATCCTGCTTTTTATTACTCAAAGAGTTTCTTCCTAATGTGCTATTTATTGCAGGTCTTTATATGCAATTGTAGTTTAATTGTAAAGAACACAAATATTTAACAGCAGGGGTGTTTCCTTGTCCTTTTGCCCTCATAGAGAGACAGAGATGCTCGTGGAGGAGAGGAAGCAGAGAAATCCAGAGAGCCAGACTGAAGAATTGCAGAGTTCTTCTGGGATGCTCTCTCCTGCCTTTTCAGTTTCTGTTAGCCGCAGGCCGAGCACAGATGAGCAGAGCAGCACACAGTGCCCTGTGCGTGTGGAAGAGGTAGGCAAATGTCCACATGTAAACAAATCAGGGTTTCCCTGAGTTTTCCTCTTCGTCAGGGGAGGGAACCAGCAGCTAATGAGCAAGTCATCCCCTGTCTTTGTGGTTCAGAGCCACCTTCTACACTGTGCATGTAGACTACATTTTGCATCATAAACCTCAGTATGGAGACTCCCTTTATTGTCAGTGTGTAGGCTCCCTACTTTTTTATCCACTGGTGTATTCCAATCATCTTTTATTACCCAGTGAAATCCATGTGATACGATAGTTTATTGATCGAATGCTTAACTGTCAAATTTCCTTTACTAAAGAGATGAGAGAATACTTTGATCACATCTGTGCATGTGTATCCCAGTTAGGGCCACAATAGTCTGATTCACCACATGTAGATCTTAAATATATAAATAAACCTGCCATTTCCTCCATGTGTTTCATGACTTTTGAAAATCAGTTTTACAAGGGAAATAACAATGGCACCTTCTGAACTAGCAACCTTTAAGCCAAAATTGACAAATTTTGCAGAGGATTTGGATCATACAATCAGGCAACCCTGCGCGCTTCTTTTGACAAATTACGCTAAACCGATGCCCAACATATCTGTGACTGATTTAAAGAAACACAACCAATCCAGTGTGTTTCCCATATAGCAGAACATAATGAAGTGCAGTCAGACCATTCTCCATTGCAGTCTCTGTGCTATGGAGATAAACCAGACTAGGGCTTCAATAATGAATTAATGAATAAAGAAATGTATATTTTATTTTCATATTAATTTATTTATATGACCCACCCCTAATGGAACTATGCAGACACATTAGCTAACAACAAACCAAGCATGCTAACCAGCTTCATGTCATCAGCATCTCCCAGACATAAACCAACACATCGTTCAAACATAAACATAAAAATCAGCTAAACATGCAACGGAAACCTCCTGTGAATAATCCTCCAGGAGACATTTTACACTGGAAATATAATAAATACAAACAATTAATATTTTCATTTATTCATCTATCGGATATTTTTTTCAATCAAATCCAGTCTAACACAGAAAAACAAAGACATTGAGTTCATATTGACTGAGTAACTGATTAATCAATTAATTGTGTTTCCACAAAACTCAGTCCCATTTCTAGTAAACTCACTTTTAGTAGAACCACTGTAATATTTGATCCCATTAGGAGGTGCATTTATTCACTTTCCTGCCAGCATTTTTATAAGGAGATAAATACACTGGAAGTCTCTTGTTGGTTTTGTAAAAGAAGTGAAGTTTTAAAACAACGGCTAATTGTTATAAATTGGTTTGAATCCTGTAACTGCAGGATTTCTTGCCCAGGTGCAGTGACTTCCTGTTGTCCCCACTGGCTGCCTGGTTTGCTCAGTGACATCAAGCACATAATTCCCCTGAAAACTTGACATTTTAGCTGTTCGGCTTTTGTGCAGGCAGATGATTCTTGGCAGAAGAGCAGCATGTAGAAGAATGTGAAAGCATTTCTCTGATGGGAGCATAGGAATTAGAATTGATCATCTGTGTTGTCCTGTTTATGTGTGGTGTATGTAGGTGTTTGATATCTTGCCGAAGTATGGACAGCTGCAACCTGGGGACCAGCAGCAGGTCACGCTCTTCTTCTATGGCCACAAAAATGCCAGCAGGGAGGTGGTGGCCCAGTGCCATGTAGAGGAGGGTCCTTCGTATGAAGTCAAGCTCAGAGGAGAAGCATCAGTAATCAGCTACAGCCTGGACTTCACTCATTTGGACTTTGGCCTGCAGGTATGCATTCAAGGTTTCTTTACGCTGAGTTTAACCACACATTTCTTCATCCTAGCAAACTCCACCAGTCAAATAGTTGGACATTTTTGCTCTTCAGGCTTTGTTCCTCAAGTGCCACCTTTAATTTGAGTTGCTTCAATCAGTACTGAAAGAACCGAGAGGGTATGGAGACATTTTGACAGGCGGAGCCCAACGTTTGGGGGCTCAGCAGGAATGGTGCTTTCCATTTGAAGTCAAATTTGTCAGGCAACAATCAGAATTTTGTCAGTGACTTGATTAAACTATGGGTAAATCAGAAGAACCTCACTAACCCCAACTTCAAAATCAAAGGCAGCTACTCAGTACATTAACAGTAGGGGAACTTGCAGTAAAATGCTCTATTAACTATTTATTAAATCAAACAAAGTTCATCTACACAGCACATTTCAAAACAAACTGACTTAACCAAAGTGATGTATGTTTTAAAAGACTGGAAATAGCAAAAATATGTGCAAAAAAAGTGTGACAGTAAACATGATAAAAACTAGTAAATCCTTTCTAAAGCAAAATCAAATATGTGAAACATGGTGGTGCTTCGGTTTGGCCATGTTTAGCTGCCAGTGGAACTTGGACTGCGCCATATATTGATTATTTCATTGCTGAAGGATACAACTGGATGAATGTAAAGTTACGCAGGAGCAATTTGTGTGTTCAGATTCAGCCAAACGCATCAAAACTCTCTGGATAACATTTCAAATCAGCTAGTAAAAGATCTTTAACGGACCGCCAAAAAGAGCAACAACCGAGCATCGAGGAAAAGAAGAAAATGTTAGACAAATGCTTTTCTGTACCGGTGAGGCTGTACAGGCTGTACAGTAAAAGTATGGTGCCCCTTTGTTTTAGGCCTTGACCATGGGAGTTTTAACAGTAACTGATTCTAAGATCTCCATGGTTGAGGGGCAGAATAAGGTGTTAGAAGTTCAGAGATGCAGAGTGGAGTCAGACCATGTAGTGATTTATAAGTGATCAGCTAAATCTCAACCTTGATTCTGTAACAAATGGCACGTTGGTATGATTTATGCCTATGTTTTGTGTTCCCTGTGTTGGATGTTTGCATGCAGTCTAACTGCTAAGTTCTGAATCATCTGTAACTGGGTGATTGTTACGTTACTAAGGCAGGTTTATTCTATATTTCTCTATATCAACCTACTCAAGGTAGAGAAGAGACTGGGCGCTTGGCTGGAGTCAGAGGCTGCTGGTAATCACAGGATTTGTAGGAAGCTGGATTTGTTTAAGCTACTTCCTGTTATTTACTGTTAATTTACTGCTTTCCTTGTCCTTGTCTCTTCTTTTGCCATCTGTTTGCTCCTCCATGCGTCACACACGGTATCTTTAACAAAACTAATTAGATTTTTCTACACTTGGCAGAATTATGCATTCTGTCATTCTGAAATATAGCAAATTTGCTTGCGATTGTGAATGATAACGTATTTGATTCTTGGTTTGTGTCATGTTTGTTTCTTTTTTGCTATTGTTACAATCATCCCTTCTGTTCTCACACAGTCTAATTCTGGGGAAAATACTGCAGGATAAGTGCTTGTATGTCATTAGTGTGTTTTTTAAAGATGAAATATCTAAGGTGACTGTGGTTATCACAAATGTTTTGCCCAGTTTTAATACCAGTGAGAGAAAGCACATTAACTTTGAATGTCACTGCCTAGTTTTTCCACAGTCTGGTCTGTTGCACTTCCACTCCCTCTTTAAGTATGCAAGCCATCCGGACGAGTTATCATTGATATTCAAAACAAGGACATATTGATTTTTGATTTTGTTGAAATAGCGATTCAGCAGAACATTTCTGCGACCTTCCTGTCTGTTCAGCATTCTTCCCTCTCCCTCTCTCACCCGCTGTGTTGCTCTCTTGTAGTTAAAGATTAGATTTTTCCACCTAAGCTAGCAAGTCCTGAAACAACCCCATTTGTGCATGCACAGGGGACCGGCTTTGAAATGGTCCAGCAGATTTGCTCATATCACAGTAATACAGTACAGCCAACTTATCTCCAGTCCTATTATATTTTCATGATGGGTATTACCATAAACCATTAGGTGCAAATAGAGGCCAACAGCATGCATATATTGTTAAAAAACTGATGTTTTCAGGATGTTTTCTGTTTCAGTTTCACTACAACAATATATAAAAAGCACTAGGTGGAGTAGTTTGTCTGTTTGCCATAAAGTTGCTTCACATAAACTTCAACGAAAATAAAGATACTGTCAATTTAACAAGCAGACCAGTGTCACATTGCCCCTCTCAATCTGCTTCTTTTTCTGTTAGCATTTTCAACATGTAGGGGAAGTTGAGGTGACCCTCAGGAATACTGGCAAGGTGGGCTTCAAATTCAGCGTACGCCCACAAAGGGAGACGGAGGAGGAGGCTGATGAGGAGGCAGGAGAGAAGCTGAAGGCCTGGGAAGAGGAAGAGCAGCGACCAGACGCACAGCAGGAGGTCAGACCTGGGAGGCCTATTGTCGTCCCTACAGTGGTGAGTTCATCCTGGGATCATTTCCAGTGTGGATGTCTGAGGGTCATTTATGATATTTAGGGAGGATTTTACCAGTTTGTTGTGTGTTTGTGTGTGTTTGTGTGTCAGGGCTACATTGATGCCGGTAAAGAGCAGTGTCTGCGTGTGCTCTACCTCCCGGGCATCCCCGAGGTGTTCGAGAAGCTGCTTCAGCTGCAGGTGGCTTTCCTCCCGCCACAGGACATCACTCTGAGTGGAGTGGGAGTATTCCCAAGGATCAGCTTGAATTTGCCACGAAACCTGTGTACGCATAAATATGCACTCATACACACAGAAATGCTTTTATGCCACCTCAACTAGCCAACGGATAGACATTTCCAGTGACTTAAAGATGCAAAATCACAAGATCACAAAATGTATCTGCAACAGAACAACTGCTATAACTGGAGGAAAGTATTCTCTATGCACTGCACGTGGAATATGCAACACTGCAGGTTTCATCAATCTGCTAAAGTGATGGCATTCTGTTATTCAGGCATAGGTCACTCTTACATTAATGTTCCTCACGATTTCATGTAGTCAGACCCTCGACAGTGATGGAGAGCCACAGCATAATGCATAGTAACACACTAATAAACAAAGACTAAGATGAAACTAATAGCAAGTTTCTTAAACTGTCAAAATAATTACTAACTTATTCTGTCCATGTGAGATAATAATCTAACTCCTACTTTGCCAACAGTAAAATAAAAATATCAGGACTGAAGATGGCTGCTGTACAACAAATGATTTAACTGCAGCTTATGAGCTATATTTCCATGTATCACAGCTCATCTGTTGAAGGTGAAGAGAAATACTCAGTGTGACCTGCAGTTAGTTCCTCATCCATCCTGTCTCCATGTTGGGGATCATTTATGATTCTAAGTAATTAATGAAGTTGTTGCTGGTGTTCCATGTGCATAAATGCACCCAACTCTCTCTCTCTCTTGCTAATATGCATCTTGCTGCTGTGTGATGCTGGTTGAGGCTGCAGGTATTTAACAAACTGAGAGGAAAAAGTCCTACAAACAGCTGGAAGCAACAAACTTAACTTCAACTTATGTTAACATTTTTTTGATACTTAAATTACATTTATTATAGAGTCTCATAAACTGAACTGTCACGGTCTTATCACAGTGAAGTTTATTTTTCTGGGTATTTCAGTTAATAATAGATGTGAAGTTGTAGGGCAAAGTCAATAAGAAAGGTGTGTTATGATTTTGGCATGCAAAATGTGTCTTTTGCACTCTGTGATGTTTATGGATTGATGTCTGGCAAAAAGCTTTTCCACATAGCTTCACTCAGCTCAAATGTGTCGCTTGTGTATGTCTGACCGTTAACACGACGACCTGCAGTTTAGACTTGTGCCGTGTTGAAAGTGAAATGTTCCTTATTTGGACCTAGTAAGACATTCAGCCAACACGTTCAGACACCGGCAGGTTAACAGAAAAGAGTTCATGTCTGAAAATGGCTCTGAAAGTAAGTGTTTACTACTTAATGTGCTGTAACAGTTTATTTATCCTCTAGAGGGAATTATCAGAGAAGTGAATTAGCTACAGAACACAGCTGTCCTTCTGGAAATTAATTTAGCCTCTTGTGCATTAAGTAACTCGTGTTCACTGTTTAGCTTTCCAGCCCCTTTTGCATTATAAAGCCTTAAGCTCCTGTCTTCTAGCTGATGGACAGGCATCCCTCATGTTCACATCTTTGTGCTAGCAAATATGGAGACGCAGCTACACCTCTTTACTTCTGCACTGGTTGAACACTGTGACTCTCTTGCAGCAGACGAGTGCTACAGTGATGTGGTGCAGCAGGCCAGAGCAGCTGTGGAGGCAGATAGAGTCAGAGAGGAGCTTATGGATGGAATTACTGCTGGCCGAGGAGCAACAACAGAAGCTACCTGCACATTCACAGTCAGTAACTAAAATAAACAACTTTCATGTTTGTGAAAAGCTCGCATTTTACAAAATCTTGTTTTTCGGGATTAAGAAAAATCCTCCTACGTTCTGATTTGTAAGCATGTTTTCAGAAGGAATTGAGTTTATGACTTAATATTGTGATCGTGTAGGATAGTAATCAGTGTATATGATGAAAAGTATATCCTGTTTCAGTTTAGCACAAACAAAATAACTCATTTCTGAAGGATTTCCACTAATATAACAAAACTTTTTATGCTGAGTAACATATAATGTTTGTTTTCAACAATATCTTTGTACAAACTGTGGTTTATTGTAGCTTCCTGTTCATAAAAAATAATTTTCTGTATGTATCTGAAGAAATGACTGTGCCATTGTGGTCAGCCTTTATGCTGCACATTTTCCAAACATATTTTCTTTCCATATGGGCAAGGCAGTGCCACTATATCTCTGCTGTTAGCAAACAGCCTTTTCTGCAGGGCTTTCCCTTCTTATCTGTGCATTGATTTTCCCAGAAGTCGTATTCACCTGGACAAGAACCATAGAATTATGCTGGAAATTGCTATTTTTTGCTTATCCCCTCAGTATTTACTCAGTTTTATGTGTTGTCTCAGTAAGCTCTCAGACATTTCCCCCCTAACTGCTGAAAAGTAAATATTTTCACAGAAGAGAAGGATTGTTTCCCGAGAAAATCAGTAAGTCCTGACAAATAACTTGACAAAATGCCAGCATTACCACCTCATCCGCAAAAGCACCTGGCTTTGGTATAATCTATTGTTTTCATGATGTTTTCTGCTTTTCAGTTTTTGCTGTGTTTGTTTATTACACTGTGGCCAGTCAAATGATAGTACAAGATGTGTGCAGCTACAATTCGACTATAATATAGAACATTTTCAACTATTTTCAACAGTGAAAAGATACACTCAGTTTCCTTATACACAATACAGATGTCTGTGATTCATTTTGAATAGTCAAAACATTAAGATCCATCTGATGACATTTTGTAAAGTCACTTTATTTGCCGTACATAGACTTAAAATGAAACTGTGCCTCAAAGAGCTTAACAGCACAATCACTGAAGTAAAAAAAATAAAGTGAAAATGGAGGTAGCTGGACATTTATTTGTTTTTAATATCCTAAAGACGGTCTTGAATCAACACATTTTGGAGTCTCACAGTCACTCTCAGTAATGAGTGTGAATTTGTTGCTATCTTTAGTTGTTGTTCTGACTTGCTGTTGGACTGTGAATGCAGCATCCACGTTTAGATTTTTACAACGATGGATGTGAAAACATTTTGAACAAGGCAGTTTATTGACCTGAATCTGCAAATGCCAGAACTCTCCATCATCAGTTTCCTTGATTATCTTGACTATCTTTAAGATTTTTACATTCACAGACTTTTCTCATGCAGCCAACTCTACTTTACAAAACCACTATCATCCCGTATGTATGATGAATTAAATGATATGGTAAAATACATTAAGACGAACCTTCAATTATTGCTTTTACCTGTTTTTTCTTCGTTGCTTATGTAACTCTTAAAAACTTTTTGGTAACTTTTGAGTGTTTATTTACCTCATCTTCTGTGTCCCTCTGCCATTTTCTGTTCCCTCTTTTGCCTACTGTCTCTAGTATGAAGAGCTGCTTCACATGGAGATGGAGAGATTGCTGGTCAAAGAAAATGCTCTCGCTGCGTCCGGCAGCCTGCTGGAGCTCAGAGACTCGCAAGGTTGCTCAGGGAAGTGGCACAAACTCAGCAAGTATGTACCAAAACACACAGCAATACTTTGGTTTAACAGATGGTCCATTCACTGGACCGAAGGGACAAATGTGTGAAACTGTGCTGTGGAATTTGAAGAGTCTCACTTGACGAACTTGGGATCAGACTTCTGCAAATTAGTGGCTGCATAGTGTGCATTGGCTCTTTCTGCTTTGTGTGCTTCAATTTGTGATGCCATGCTGTTACCACTTGTTCAAAGGCCACAAATGTACACTACAAATGTTTATGTAAAATACTGAAGTTGATTTACAAGGCAAAAGTCTGTGTCCTATTGAGACAAGAAACTCTTCTCACTTGTAAAAACAATGTTGAAATTATAATTTGCTTGGAAATGCTGATTTGAGTCATAAGCAATAATACAAAGCTATTTTTTAGAATTATTTTAAATTTAAAGGCTGCTTGTTCCTGATGTTTCACTGATCTCTCTACTCAAACCTGTTTCCTTCCCTCCAGGTTCCTGCTGCCAGAGTATGTTCTCGACTTTGGTTATGTCATTCTCGGCAATGTTGTCAGTCACACTGTAAATGTCACCAATCGTGGATCAATACCTGTCTCCTTCAGCGGCAATTGCAAACATCTTGCGGGCACAGGTAACTCAATACCTGCCTTTGTTCTGTAGCATTTCGAGTTCCGTTTTTACTTTCTCATAAAGTGATTTTTCAGTGTTTCTGCAATTATGCCAAACACCTGGTTTAGTGATGCTTCTGGTATTTGTAAATTAGAAATAACTGTGCTCATAAGGTGCTGGATACAAATACAAAAGGTGTACATGATTGTGTAAAAGTTTTTAGACACTTCAGGTGTTTCATAAAAACATTACAAATTGCACATTAACAAAGCACTTTACAAAAATCAACAACTTTAGGAGTTAATAGGTATTTAACCCAGTGAAGGATGAAAAACTAGAAACCAAACAAGTCCTGAAGAATAACGACAAAAGATGCAGATTGAACTAGACTCATGAAGGACTGATGCTGATGAGTAGAAGTGGTCAGTGGTCACAGTGGTCAGCCATGGGGACTCATTATAGCAGATGAAAGACACATTGAGATGATTTCCCTTATGAATTGGGAAGATGTCCAGCAGTGCCATTACCTCAGAAATGGCACAAGTGTGGGACTGCAGTAAAACCCAAATTATTTGCATAAGTCTGGTCAGAAAGTGGTCTTTATGGATGACTTGTAGCCAAAATACTGTTTCAACAAACCCAAACAACTCGCTTTTGGTCATGAAGACACAAAAACTAGAATGCAGAAAATAGGCAGCTGATAAGTTAAAATCTAAATTATGTAGCTCTAATTGCAAGCATTAATACAAAGGTGGTTGTCTTGTAATTTAATATTTCGTATCTGCCGATCTATTACATTTTCCGGAATAATACGCAATTGAAATATTGTAGATTAGCTGTAGTACCTGGTTGTTGCCACCAGATGGAGTCTTTCCTTGTTAATTACTGCGGCAACTACAGACGGCGGTCACTCCTACGGCTGACAGTTCATGTTGGCAGGCATTGTAGGGGTTTAGGTCACTACGGGCCACCATGACAAAGCCTTCTGTGGTGCTTAATAACCTCTGGCCAGAGCTAATTTGAGATTGACTGGGACAACTTTAGAGAGACGTAAAAATCAACAATTTTGGCATCTGCTGGGTTGAAATATGCACATACATCAGGCAAATACATCTCATGTTATAACTACTATTGTTTTTTTTGTTATTAGTATTTCTCCTCAATATCTCACTCTCTACTTGTTAAAACATAAAAATGATTAAGTCTATGTTATTTGTCTTTTACAGGGTTCACAGCAGAATTTGAGAGAGTGAAGAACCTGCCCTGTGGCGAAACCCACACCTTCACTGTTAAATTCGATCCTCAAGGAGCCAACCTGAAGATGGGGGACACGAGTGTTATCATGCCAATACAGGTAAACACAGGTGTACACGATCTACAAACCCTGTGCTTATTTCAGATGCAAATTATTGAAATCGTTGTTTCTTTGGATTCTCTATTTAATTAGCAGCCCTGTAACATTGTTCCTGTTGCTTGGTTTTGAAGGTTTCAGGTGGTCCAATGGTGCAGGTGCGACTGTGTGCAGTGGTAACCAAGCCAGCTGTCACCGTTTCCAGGGATACGCTGCAGTTTGACACAGTACAGTGTGGCATGTGTCAGGTAATACAGTGTAGTTAAAAAAATGTAGTTACAGTATAACATCATATAGCCTTACTTTCCTCAAAGTGAAAAGATATGACTGGATGAAAGTTGAAGGTTTCTATCATTGTATAACTTATTGCACCCATACAGGATCAGATGGGTGCCACATTCAAATCTAATTCACGTTTACAGACACTCTATTGCACTTTATGTAATCATCATGCACAAGTAGAAGAATAGGAAAGTAGGTGAAAGTTCTAAGGGCTTAACGCTGCTGTGTGTGTGCATGGCACACTAATTAGAGGCACTAATGAGAGACCGCTGTGCTGCTTTACTATGGTGCCATCTTGCGATTGTTTACTGTAAAATCAGGTTAAGTGAATCATTTTTTAATAATTTCTTCTAATCAGATTTAAACTCTTGAACAACGAGGACTAAAATATAACATGTCTGTTCAACTCCTTATTCCTTTGTATAGGTCGGCAGTCCGAAAGGTATCCAACATACTGTGATTGTAAATATAAAAATCCTTTAGTCATACGTGGATAAACTAAAGTCCTTCAAATCTTACTGTCTTTGAGTCCATGATGCAGTTTTCAGTCGGGCCTCCACCCTAATTAACACTCTAAGTCAAAAAATGTTGGTTTATCCATATATTAGTAATAGATTTTTAGGTTTAAATTGTTTAAAGTCAGAGTGCTTTCAATACTTTTTGGACTGTTGACCAATTTTATGGATTTCCATAAACAGGAAGTGGAACAGTCATGATATTTTCACCTTTACTGACCACTGTTACGCTTCTTGAAGAGCACCTAATTTTGTATTTTATTATTTTTACTCCACTAAAGGTATTGCTCTTAACCCAGTGCAGCACTCCCTATTTATTCCACTATACGCTTGAACTGTGACTGTATTAAAAATAATCAAACATAATGTAGTGTACATTTAACCTGAACTACTCAGGTTAATCTCCATAATTAATAGTGTTTTACAGACTTAGCCTTTTTAGTTAAATGAGTTAGGTTATTCTCCCGTAGTTCATAATGTAAGGTTTTAGCCATAATATTTATTATTTTCAGGTGAAGTTGTGTAAGGTTTAAATGCTTAATATATAAATTACTGAGACAAATTTACACCATGAATAGCACTGTAGGGTCTTAAACCCTAATACTTCAACTTGTTAACTTAATTCAGAACGCCACCCTTATTTCTCAACTGGAAAGCACTTTTGCACAATGGCTGTTGCTTTAAATGTTCTGTATAAATGGTGGTGACTTGACTTGACTATAGCACAGTTTATGAGTTTCACTAAAGCAAGTAAACTCAAAGGCCTTTACATCAAAAAGAATATGATGCAATAGTCAAGTCTGCTGAAAATAAAAGCATGAATAAGTCTTTCAGTATCTTCTTTAGACAGGAAAGATTGACAGTAGGAAGCACTTCTGAGATGATAAAATACATTTCAAGTGATGTTTCTTACCTGCGATTCAAAGATAGGTCAAGATCAAGATGATAGCGAGTGTCTTTGCTTCATGCTTTTTGTATATATATGGCTTTTTAAAATCAGCACTAAGGTGATTTTTGCCTTTTGGCCTCTTACAGATGAGTATGGATGTTTTTAATTTGCAACCAGTTTTGAATTTTATCATAGTGACATGCTTTAATGTAAGAGTACTTATAAAAATTAGTGATTTTATGTTAATGCAGCATGAAGGTTGTTTGAATTCACTCTGTTGTACCAAAGCAAGAGAATGCACTCAGGTTGTTATTGCAAAACTTAATAATCCTGTGCGTTCTCACCTTTGCCATCAGATGAAGACGATACAGCTGCTAAATGACGAGCTTGTGCCTTGTTATTGGAGCATAGCTGAGGAGGTGAAGCCCTTCAAAAAGGTACAACTATTGTAATTTTGTAGAACTTTCAATCCATATTCCCAAAGAATTCCTTTAATAAATAGCCATTAAAAACAAGTTATTCCCTGGTCAGGTTGTCAGGTTGCATGTGGGTCCTGAGTGAACAGCCTTTTTTAAAGTCCAGCCAATTGGACTGAGGTCTGGGCTTTGACTTTGTCACTCCAAAACATCCGTCTTTTCTTCTTTTAAACCATTTCTGTGTAGCTTTGGCGGTATGCTTTGGCTGATTATCTTGCTGGAACACAAATCTTCCCAGATCACAGACTGCATCAGATTATCCTCCTTTAGAAGGCTTCCAGGGCCTGCTAACAAGAAAGCCCACATTATGATGCTGCCACCACCATGCTTCACAATGGGGATGGTACATTTATGATGTGCAGTGTTTGGTGTCTGCCAAACATAGCGCCTAGACTAATGGCCTTCGTCTCATCAGATCAAAGAACCTTCTTTCATTTGGCTTCAGAGTATCCCACAGGCCTTCTGCCAAACACTAGTTGAGATTTATTATGAGCTTTTTCAACAGTAGCTTTGTCTATGTCATTCTACCATGAAGCTGTGACTGGTGAAGAACGGGAAACAGTTGTTGTATTCACAGTTGTACTTTTTATAAGCACTGTAATAAAAGTAATACACATAAAATAGAAACAAATACAGATATTGGTGCATTAGGGTGAGCCCTACCTCTGTTCTTGCTTTCACTCAGGTTGACAAGTTCCTGCCTCTCCACAAGCGTAAAAAGATCCTGCAAGAGCAACGTCCACCTCCAGCGGTGTTTGAGATGGTTCCCTGCTCCGGTCTGCTGTCACCTGGTGAACGGGTCAATGTCCACGTCAAGTTCAGCCCTACCGAGGGGGTAAAAGCTTTTCTTATATTATAGGAAGAGGTGTTTTGTAGAATTCACAACAGAGTATCATGGATGTAGATTATTGCTTAGATATATTTAGACCTGAAAATTTGTCTTTCTTATAAAAGTGCAAAATGCAGAATAGTAGCATGTATAACGGGATGTCATAAAACAACTGAATGCTGACCTACTGTATGTGTCTTTCAGTGTGCTTACAGCAGGCAGCTCGTGGTCCACGTGGCTGAGAACACCCAGCAGGTGTTCATTACAGCTCAGGGTCAGGGCGAGGAGCCACAACTCGAGTTCTGCCCGTCGGTACTGGAGCTGGAGCCTTGTCTCCCCGTCAGCACTGAAACTGAGGCTGAGGTCACTGTCAAAAACCCCTGCTCATTTCCCATCGAGTTTTACTCCCTGGAACTCGACACGCAGTACCTCAAGGAGGAAAAGGTAGCTCTTTCTTCACTTTAGGAAATAGTGTTGTAGATTTATTTTCTTCGCAAAGTTGTGAAATGTAAAAGTGATGATAAAGGGAAGAGAGAGACAGTAGGAATATGAGGGAGCAAGCACGGTTGCCAGTTAATGACACTACATCTTCTTTAGATACAGAGTTAGTCTCACATTAAACATACAGCTTCCTTAAATGAAAAGTCGTAAACCATTCTTCCCCCAGGTGGAAGCAAAGTCACAGTCACAGGAAATTGCAGGAAAGCTTGATCTAAAAGACCTAAAAACAAACAGAAAAAAGGGAATATTTGCACAACAAGTTTACCAAGTTTTATTTTATTTACTTTTCTTTTCTTTTCTTCTGCTGTTGTTTTTTGTGTGTATGTATTGTATGGAGTATTGTCTAGTGAGAAAAAGAAATTACATTACAATGTTTGTTAACCCTCTGAACCCTGGGCAGGTTTTAGCTCCTGTCACATTTTTCCTCACTGTTGGCTCATTTTTTCATGCATTAGACATTTTACATGCTATAGACTTATTTTTACTTGCAGTATAATTTCTCTAAAGACGAGTGTTTCTTTGTTTTGTTTTGTTTTTTTTAACTTTTTTTTTTTTAACTCTAGAAAGATAGTTCAACATGCCAAATCCTCCTACAACCTGCTGAAAACCTGCTCCTCTGTATACCATTTTTAACCATGCCATTTATTTTATTGATCAAGTGTGTTTAATTTTACTCTCAGTCTCTTTAATCACGTCCATACTTGTCTCCTCCCTGCTCTGTGTAAACACAGCCTGCAGTTCAACCAAACAGCCCTGAGCTGTTGTGACTAAGTGCTTGTTAAGTGCAGAATTTTATTTCATTTTTTTTACAAAGTCTGGTTTGTGCAAGCAGATTATTTTTGGTGAATTTACAAATAAGATGTGATGAATAAAGATAACATGCCTTTCAAACCTGCCAGCAGATTTGGGGATTCAGAGGGTTGATATCACTTTATAATTTGATGGCACTTATATCCTTCTAGAGCTGACTGGGGGACAGCTCTGAAACTGTTTTGCCAATGCCATCTTCATGTGTTTGTCATTTATGTTTTTCTGGAGTGAGACTGTTAAATGCATCAGATAAGTCACATGAGGTCATATTTTTACATCAACAGTCATACCTTTTACTGTGTTTTGCCCTTTTTGACAAAGATGAGCTGCTCTTAATAAGTAACACCATCTCCTGACGAGGCTCCTCTCTTTGCTTTTCTCCTCATCTGTCACATTACCAACTTGTCTACTTAAAAAGTTCCTCTCCATGTTCATGTTTGTGCCCTTTGCTGTTTTCTCCTCTTCCTCATAACTTTGTCCCATGCAGATCCTGCGTCTGCTGCAGGGTTACGATGAGAACAAGACATTGCTGCTTCCTCCCAGGATCCCTGGAGAAGGTCTTCCTGCAGAGCTGCTTGACTATTTCAAGGACCATTGCTCTCTGCTGAAAGATGATGGTAGCATCAGGCACACATTGTCGTAATTGATATTACGCACCTACAGATGTGTCAGTGCCTATTTGTTTCAGTGTCTATCATAATGTCTTTTTTAATCTATCTACGTGCACCAGAGCTGAAAGCAGGCGTGGATAAATATGAAGCTGAGAAAAATGGCACACAGGAAGAAATAAAGCAGTCAAAACGAAATGATGCCCATCCAGAAATTAGCCCTTTAAGTGTGAGACCAGCAGAAATATGTAAGTACAACCATTTCACGAGCAGAATTTCTGACCGGAGGCGAATGTAATTTAGTGTAATTTCCCACAGACACTGTGTAATTTAGTGAACAGAAGATTAAAGGCTCAATTTTAACTTTTCTTGTTCATAAAAGAAGAACATTAAACTCATTACTTCCTCTCTCTAAAACTTTAAAGTTTTGTGCTTTAAGTTGTTTCAGAGTTGACCAGAGAGGGAAGCAGTGGGAGACTGGGACAGCTAGAGATGACTCCCGTCTCCAGAGCGATTGCCCGACACATGGGTGTTGACCTGTCACCAGAGAGCCTGGCTGCACGCAACCGCAGAGGCATCGCTATTATTGTATACGGAGCCCCACTGACTGGTAAAAACAGCAGATTTTTCACAGGAAAAAGTAGAATGAACACTGAAGAACTGTAAAATGTACAGGGGTCATTCAAAGTATGTGAATCATTCAGGACTTTTGTATATTTCTACTTATATATGACCCAAAACATTCTCATATATATTTATTGTGGAAATTGATACAGTGTCACATGTCCATAAGTACCAAAAGTGAAGGAGTGACAATCAGGAGTGAGTGTACGTCCTGTTTTAATAAATGAACTTGAATCTATCAAAGTCTGATCTTCACAGCACATTTTTGTGGAGGTGTATCATGGCACAGGCGATGTAGATTTCTGAGTTGCTCAGAAGAAGAGTTGGTGAAGCTCATCAGGCTGGAAACGTTTATAAACCATCTTTCCATCAGTACACAGTAAGACAGACTGTGTACAAATGGAGGAAACTCAGAACTGCTGTTACAGTCCTTAGAAGAACAAATATTACTCCAAATGCAAGGTGTGTAATAGTTGTAGTCACAAAGAGACCCAGTCCAACTTCAAAGCAACTGAAAGCTTCTCTCACATGGGCTAATGTGAATGTTTACAAGTCCAATAGCACATGGGAGAGTTGGACGTAGAAAGCCCTCACATTCAAAAAAGTAAAAAAGAAATGTAGACAGATGAGATCAAAATAGAGCTTTTTGGTTTAAATGTGAAGTGTTATGTTTTGACAAAGGAAAACACACATTAAAATCCCCATCTGTGAATCATGGTGGTAGTATGATGGTTTTGCTGCGTCTGTGTGAGGGTGGTTTCCTGTCATTGATACAACAATTAACTCTGAGTTACACGACTGAATTCCAAAGAAAAATGTTAGATCATCTGTTTGAACACGTTATCTTACAGAAAGTATGTGGCAAGACAAGAAAATGCAGCAAGACAATCACCCCGACCACAAAAAGTGCTTAAAGAATAGTAAAGTTCATGTTTTGGAATAGCCAAGTCAAAGTTCTGACCTGAATCCATTAGAAATGTTGTTCATGGGCCTGAAGCAAGCCGTTCACATGAGAAAACCCACCAACACCTCAGAGCTGAACCCGTTCTATATGGAGAAACGGGTTGAAATTTGTCCAAACTTATGTGCAGAACTGATCGACAGTTGCTGGAAAGGTTTAGTTGCAGTTATTGCTGCACAAGATGGTCACATGAAACACCTAAAGCAAAGGTTCATGTAGTTTAGTATCTCACAGATTGGTAATAATGTGTAATTTTCCTCAGTAAATCAATGACCAACTGTAATATTTTTGTCTTATTTGTTTTATCGGGTTCTCTTTATCTACTCTTCGGGCTTGTGTTAAAATCTGATGATGATCTTCATGCAGAAATATACAACATTCTAAAGGGTCCACAAGGTTTCAAGCACCACTTCAAAACTGTATCGTGTTTTTTTCAGATAAGAGCAGCACAGCAGCTGCTCTGGCGCGTCACTACGGAGCGTCGAGCCTCAGCGTTGATGCCGTGGTTACAGATGTTGTTCTAAAAGGCACATCACCGGTTAGCCTGACAGCAAGACAACTGTATAACAGCGCTGCTGCAGAATATGCTCAGAGGAAGGCTGTGGAAGCTGGTAAGCATGATGTGCTGTAAATGTTTTACATGCTTTATTAAAGCTTGGGGAGTTGCAGCAGTGTAGAAATTAGAGAAGTGGCTGTGATGGGCAGATGGGTAATGCTCTCCCATACTGTCGATGAGCAGTTTAACAAGGAGGTTAATCACCAACAGTGTGGTTAACAGTAGATGACCACACTATAAATATATCTTCCTGGTTTCCAGCTCAGGCCGTTGATGATGCCACTGAACCAGAACCAGCAGCAGCTCCTGAAGCCTCGGATCCAAATTCAGCTTCAGCTGATGCAGTGGAAGGTTTTGCAAAACGTCCTGAGGACAGCCGCAGTAAAAATGACCCCAAGGCTCAGCTGGATGATGAGAACTCACACGTTGCCTTTTGCCTGGTACATTTACTTGTGTTCTCTTATTATTTTGTTTTAGCTTCAAATCAGAGTGTTTTCTTAAAACAGTTATATGACCTTTATAGTCCAAATTTGGGCATTAAAGGTTTCTGGTTTACTTTTTCTCTATGAAGTCAGTGAACCTACAGGATGCGTCTATATCTTTCTAATTTAAATCTGTTTTTAAACTCTGGATATTAGCGTTGTATACAACTGTTAATATTGTTTAATCATTAAATATCCTAAACCAGTTAATTTGATGTGGTTTAACTTCAGGGAGATGATGCAGCCACACTCAGCAGTCTCTTGCATGAACAGCTACTGGTTGATGTCCTGGCTGAAAGATTTCAGGTCAGTTCACACTCTACATTTTATCAGCCTGTTGTGTGACACACTGCTCAGACCAAAGCCAATGACCCTTTCATACAGAACAGTGCAAACAACTCCAAGTTAATTAACATACAATACATATATCAAAAAAGTCCCAATCAAGCAAGCAAGTTTATTTATATAACTTGTTTTCATGCACAGAGTTACTCAAAGTGCTTTACAGGCAACGGTTAAAAAAAAAACAAACAAACAAAAAACATGTCAAATATAGAATATAGCTAAATAAAATTGAATTAATTCGATAAATCAAAAACAATATAGACAAGCTGAATTTAACGCATGCAGATGGTAAAGGCTATATTAAACTTGACTACAACAGTGAGAAAAGATTAAAAAAAAATAAAAGCATGTAAAAGATTAAAAAAAAAAAAAAGCATGTAAAAGATTAAAAAAAAAAAAAAAAAACTATAAAAATGAATAACAATTTTATTATGCATTTAATAACAGATAATGTGCAGATAATTAATGCCTCCAGAGATGAGAAGCTACAGGCTTACAGCTATTTGTTATTGTAATCGGGCAGATATCACATGCTGTATGTATTTTGTGTAACTCCTAAAATGTGTTTTCTTCTGCTCTTCTCATTCTCTTCCGCTCGGTGCCGCCTTGATAACAGTTAAGCGATTGCTACCGTGGAATAGTGATTGCCGGCCTGGAGTCAGCGTACACTCAGTCTGCAGCGAGCACGTTGAAAGTCGTTCTCAAGGCCCTTAACAACCGCAAACACATCTATGCAGTCAACTTGTCCGACTCCTACGCTGCCCTGAAGGCACGAGAAAGAGCACAGAGAGAAGCTGAACGTAAACTACGCACCAGAGCACACACACATGCGTTAATCCTTGTATCAGGTGGACAGAACGTACAAGTATTATTAGTGTTATTCGAACTGTGTGTGTCCTTCAGAGGCTCTGCAGAAGGAGAAAATGGACAGGGAGCAGCAGTGGATGCAGGAGCTGGATGAGGAGCAGTACGAAGCTCTGTCAGAGGAGGAGAAGAAGAGCCTCACCCAGCGACACATGGAGACACTCAAACAGCAGAAACTCAGGTACTGGCTGGAAGATGTGCAAAACTCTCTAAATTACACACACTTGTGGTAAACTGCTTGTTTTAGCCTGACATATGCTACGTGTTGCATTCATGAGATGCCCTCCTGAGCATGAGGCTAGTTGTTTTACTGCGCTTGAGGGCAAAATTCTTTCACAGAAATGCTGCGAAAGTGTATAAAGAAGAGTTTTACAGCGCTGTCAGAAATCAACAGAGAAAAAGGTCAGCAGAGTCAGTCATGGTGTTAGAGGACCTAAAACAATCTTTAATCTATGCCAGGAGAGGGAGTTTAAATCACTTGCATGAGTGACTTTTTGTATGAATAAACGTGTTTGCATGAGTGGTTCTTCTTGAAGGCCGTTGAGTGCTGAATCTTTTTAAAATTGTCTCAGTGCTCTTGTAGGAGGAACAAAATGTCTGAAGCAAGAAATATAAATGATTACATTACATTAAAGAAGCAACATTAAATGCTGCATAGCTGCTGAGGAGTAATAAACAGTATTAAACATTAGAAATTGCAAATAAATGTACAATATGTTGACATTTCTAGATGAAACCTTTATTTACCTTGTCAGTTTTTTACTTATTTTTTTTCACTATTCACCCGATACAAACAAGCCAAACAAGCAGTTTCACAATATATATAAAGAATGACGTTATAGACATGTATTACATGGTTTAAAACACATTATAATGTAGTTAAAAGTCACTGTAAGGACATTTTTCAGTATTTAGAAATGTACGGTGACACTTCTTCTCGCATGAAGACATATTTTGCATTATTACAGTTGTGTTTTACTATATTGTCATCAATTTACTGTTTAAATCCCTCAGTTATGGGTGCCCAATGGAGGAGGTCTACTTGTTGACAAATACATTAAAAAAAACTTTTAATACATAAATCATGTTTTAAATGTATATTTACTGCATATACATGTCAAACAAGGGAACATAGCATGAACCGTTTCAAAAGGAATGTTTTTAATAGTCTACATTTGGAGAAATATTGCTCACAATTCCTAATTAGACTGCTGGAAACACATTTAACTATTTTAGAAAACCTCCCTGTACTTACATGAGCATGCATGTTTTTCAGGGAGCAGATGGAGAAAGAGCTTGAAGAAAAGAGGCAACAGGAGGAGATACAGAGGTTGAAGGAAGAAGACTTGAAAAGGAAGAAAAAGGGAGGAAAGAAGGACATCAAAGAAGTATCAAGGAAGAAGAGCTTGTTGGAGAGAAAGCAGGTGTGTATCTAAGTCCCAGCTCTCCTCAAATACATCCATATGAACCAAAATACATGCAAAACTCTTGTATACAAATTGTCTCATAGTTAGTGCTCTTGTAAATTAATTGGTTTCATTTCCCCTGCAGTCAACAGGAGCACTGAATGGACAGAGGATGTCTTCCTGTGGCAACTCGAAAGAGTCGCTAGTGGACGCAAAAGAGACATTTAACTCAAATGAAGGTAAAAAAAAACTGTAAAAACAAAAAATATGCCAAACATAGAAATTCTTAAATAATTTCTGTTAGCGTCCTAGAAAATGTGTGTAATATACAGGCTGTATTATGCTAACATGCTGACTTATGGTTCTCTTTGTTCCTGCAGTGCATCATGGCAAAGAGGCTAATGATGCACAAAAGCAGACAGAAGAAACCAAAGCATCCAATGCAGAATCTCCTCAACCTGCAGGCAAACTGGAGAAAGAAAAGGTCAGTTTAGTGCTCGGCAACGACAGCAACACGTTAAATATCATCGCAATATATATGTATTACATTTAATACAAACTTGAGCAACTTATCTGAGGAACTTAGGCTACATTTATGCTGCAATTTTTTTGTTATAAATTAACAAGTACCTGCTCTGATATTATGGAATACAGTATGACTGAGCAGCACACCAGGTGTTGGGGAAGGTTGAGTGATAAGCATTTTATAAATCACCGTATATTACTGACCAGCACTGGAGGAATATAGAGTATATTAGGGACAGGATATACAATATGCATGTTCCTTCTTTAAGGTTTGGGGTTCCAGATTGTGGTTCTCTGAAACCCAGACATTGACTTTATTTCTTTCAGGTGTTCTTAATAAAGTGGGCGTTTAGTTTATATAAACGTAACCCTACAGGCCCAAGTGTTACGGTTTTGCAACATTAAAAATCCTCCAAATCATGTGTATTGTACTTTTTTTTAATTAGCTAAAAACAAAATATCAGCCAAATACTTGATCAGAAAATCGCTGAAACCTGTCCAAAACAGAGAGCCAGTAAAAAGCCTTGTTGTCTGAACTTAGACTGTTGTAATTCTTACTGTATAAACATTTTCCCATCACAAATGAGGTGATACAGTTCAGACTCCGCAGTGTCAGGATGTGCAGTTTCTGTCTACAGATCCAGGAATAACTGTATTTTCAGTAACTAACTGGGTGTGTTATAAAACAGGCCTAAGTAAAATATGATACCTCTTTAACTCTTTAGTTAATTGAAACCTACAGTATACATTTGTAGTAAATTTTCTTACATGTGCTGGACTTATGGGTTCAAAAAGTCACACTGTAGACTAGAAAGAACAGTGTACATAGAGATCCGTATTATGAATTGTTAGCAGTGTGTTCAGGCCATCTACAGCTGAAATCAAAGATATGTTGATCTGCATACTGCGTATGATCCAATGACATTACATAGTTTTATACCTAGCATTAAGTATATTGGTGACTGAATCTCAGAGTACAGAAACTGCAGCGATAAAGAGGCAAGCAGAAGACAAGGAGCTGAAGACAGGCAAAAAGGTGACAGAGAGAGATAATAAAGAAGTACCAGAGAAGAGAAGCCCGTCTGGCATAAAGCACATGGTTTTCAGCCGCTTATCTGTGAACCACTTACTCAAAACCAAAGTCCACACATGCATTATTTGTCAGCAGGTGATTTTTCGTTCTTTTATTTATTTTTTTCTCCAGTCAACAGTTTCACCAGATGGTCGTCGGATGTCCAGAGAATCGCCAGTGGATGCAAGAGAGCCACGAAATTTAAATGAAGGTGCCACCAAATGTAAGTATTTATTTCATCCAGTTCATAGAAACTTTTTAACATATATTACTGAATGAAATGATAAGGCTACAACTTTGCTAATTCTTTAGTCTTACCATTTTAAGACATTTTTGTCCAGCGAGAGTCTCTAAACCCAAAATCTACTCCTGATAAAATGACCGTATCATTAATTAGAATAAAACCAACACAGTCCACTAAGAAATGACTGTCATTCTGATGATCAAAATCAAAACTGACCATTTAGAAAACAAAAAGCCATGATCAGAAATTATCCGTTTTTTGTTAATGCAGTACATCAGAGTAAAGAAGCCAATCAGGTGCATGAGAAGACAGAAAAAGCAAAGAAAATACAGGCAGAAACTTTGCAACCTGCAGACAAGCTGGATGGAGAAACGGTGAGTTTCATGTTATGGCATGCATGTTGTTACGACAATAATGACAACAAATAGAAAAAGCAATCATCTAGAAAAGTGGTCGTATCATTTATTCAGTCACTGGTGTTTGAATTATACATTGAAATCTTACAGTGAATCCTGGAAATATACACAGACATTCAGTGTGCTCCCACATTTCAGTTGTAACAATATATTATTATTATTGTTGTTATTATTAATTTTTTTACCATAAAATAGCATTTTAGTTAAAGCAGCAAAGAGTTGCATCCATAGTTTCCTGAACACATCCTATAATTATTTTTAAAAAGTACATTATAATGTTGTGATTGCAGTTAATAGTTTTCTAGTAATTAAATAAGAATACTTTTATGTGCAGCGGATTAAAAGGTCAATAAAAAAAAAGAATTTACGAGTCACTTTTAAATTTTATTTCTTTGACACGCCTTTGCTCACTTGTCTAGTCGGTTGTGGATAAGCTGCAGTCTCAGTTCAGTGACTATGAGCAGAGCCAGGTCCAGGTGGAGCACATCCTGCGTCATTGGGACCGGACCCGGGGCTTGTTGCTGGTCCCGTTCCCCAGCAAAGAAGCCCCAGCAGGTTTACAGGATGCCTCAGCAGAGAAACCGGTAAGTGTGCTGACTGTCAGTTGTATTTTCTCTATAGAAAATTGGGAAGCTGTGCTTCTTCATCTTCCACTGAACTTTATTCCATATCCTACAACAGCAGCTTTTTACTTTCAGGTAACTTTGCAGTCAGGCAGACCTTGAACCAGCATAAATAATGTACTCTGTCATTAACTTCTCATCATAGATTTAGTGTAAGACATGCACTCAGTTATAGCAAACTGGAGCATATTTGTGGAGTTAAATATAAACAAGATAGCGGTACAGTAGTTCCTTGTCCTGTATTTCCTGTGAAACTTTGTATTTGACTACACAAAATGAGAATTGCAAAGTATTACAAAAGCTGGAACCCATCATTCTCGTCCATTATCACCCCATGTGCACAGTCCCCCACTGGAAAGAGAAGCAAGAAAGTCAATAGCAAGTCCGTTCTGTCTCCGCTGCCCAGTCAGATAGCAGCAGCAGCTGAAGCAGACACAGCAGGAGACAATCCGTCTCAGCTGGACGTCATCCCTCACATTGTGCTAAATGCAACAGAAAAAGACTATGTGAGTGCTGCAGAGCTGCTCAAAGGCAGCACTCTGCCTCCACTGGACAAGGTACATTTGCCACATTTTACTATACTGTAGTTACTATAATTTCATCTCAAATTGTCCTAAGTGTTGCATTTCCACTAATCTGTTTCCTGTCTTTTCTTTGGTCTCCTTAGGTGTTGGATGATCTGGGGTTGGGACCGAGCGGCCCACCGATCCCTCCTCCCACCACATTCTCTATTGTTACTTTCCCCAAACACAGGGAGCAAGCCACCATTCAACAGAGCTGCTTTACCTTCCTGATTCCTTCAGGGCCGGACGAACAGGACGAGGAGAAGAAAGCGTCAGAGGATATGCAAGCATCAATTGTAAAGGTAATGGCACTCACCCAGAGGTAATTTCCCACATCAAAACATAAACATGTGAAAATGTGGTCCTAATTTAAAGAGTAATTAGCAATAAGAAGAAATACAGTTGTGAACAAAAACTTGCATACACTTGTACACAATGACTTCTACAACTCTTGTTTTCTATAATGGAATCACTGAAACACTCCTAAAAGATCTTTATCTAGAAGCAGCACCTTAAGGCTTAAGTGAAGTTTGCTTTTGATCACATTGACAAGGAAAAGGACTTCTGGAAGAAAGTTCTGTGGTCAGGAGAGGAGAAGCCAAGAACACCAAACCTACTGTCAAGCATGGTGGTGGCAGTATTATGCTTGGTGCTTTACACAAAGTAAATGGAATAATGAAGAAGGAGGATTACCAAAACATTCTTCTTGAAAACCTAAAATCGGCAGCCAGAGGATTGGCTCTTGGACACAGTTGGGTGTTCTGACAACACAATGAACACAAAAAAACATAAAAAGTGGCAAAGAAATTTGCCAAATTAGACTGGAATTAAGGTTTTAGATTGGCCTCCCCAAATTCTTAGCTTAAACCTCGTCCAGAACCTTTGGACTGTGATGAAGAAAAAGTCTGTGTCAGAAAGTCAACAAATTTAGTTAATCTGTACCAATTCTGTCAAGAGGGTGCTCAAGGATACATCCAGAAGCTTGTGGACGAAAACCAAAAGCACCTAGTTATGGTGAAAATGGCCACTTGGACATTTAATCAAATATGTGCAGTGCTGTATGTATATTTTCGACCCAGCAGATTTTGTCATATTAATAGAAAACCTGTGATACATTTATGAAAGAACAAAAATACATGATTGTTTTTTGTGTTTCATTGATTCCACCATCAAAAGTTTGTGTTAAAGGAGTCACTGGAATCGCAACACTGCCATGATATGCAAGGTCTTTACAAGTGTATGTAAACTTTTGTTCACGACTGTACAAGCTTCCATTCATCTCTATTATGTCCACAATGGTTTAGGAAACCAAACTTTAACAAATGAATGAAAAAGTGCAAATAAATTAATGTTAAAAATATTGAATGTTAAAGATTTTAAAATCAGAATGGTGTGTGTTTGTGCACAAAGGATGAAGCACCAACAACGGCCTCGAAAAGTCGCAGCAAGGGCAACATAAAGGAGAGTGCACTGCCAAAGGACAAAGACAAAAAGGGCAGAGAGAGTCAGCGGAGCAAGAGACGAACGAAAACAAAAGCCTCGGACTGGCCTCGTTCACTTTCACGGACCGCTTCCGTCTCTGACTGCGCCGAGCAGGACCAACACCAGGGAGACTTAGAGCTGAAACGCAGCCAGAGGCAAGACGAAACACACACAGATACATTGTCTGCTATTGCATTTGTTTTCCTAATTGTGTTTAAATGTGTTTGTGCATGTCTTTGCTTGTAGCCTGACAACATTTCGCTGGGTTGTACCAGCTGGCGGTGAGGTGGTGCTAAAGATGTGGTTCTACTCAGAGACACCGGGGACGTTCGAACAGACCTTCAACTTTGAGCTAGTTGGGATCCAGAGACGCTACCAGCTCATCTGCAGAGGAGTTTGCACCTATCCCTCCATCAGCAGAGACTACATGTCAGTCTGCATTGTTTGACAAAATCACATGACAGCTAACAGAAAGGGAAGAGAGGGAAAAGAAGGAGTTATTACATGGAAATAGACATGACAAAGTGTGCCCCCATGACTTTATACAATCTTATTTTTCTGATTGAGTGTTCTTAGTAAAGTCTCTGAACACTGGTCTCTTTCTGTTCAGATTAGAGAAGATCTAAATTAATTAAAATGTTGATATGCTCATCTGAGTTGCAAAGCTTGTGATGTAAGCTTCAATTCTTTATCTTGTCGGTTAGCATTCATTTTAACCAGCAAGAGAAGGTGGAGCAATTTTGGAATACTTAGACAAAATCCTGTTTGTGGATATCATACGCAGGTAGAGCCTTCATACAGGAAATTACAGGAACACCAGTGCTTCTATGTAATCCACCAAACAGACATTCTCTGGGGAAAAGTGCACTGCAGAAGTTACTTCAATCTGGATGACAGTGTGGTGCATTGCTGCAATTACAGTTGTCATTTGTGGTTTTCACAGGACACTCTTTGCCTTCAGTAAGAAGGTGCCACAAATGAAAGAAGGGCTTCACAAGACGTATGTGATCAAACCTGGATACTTTGAGTTTGGGCCTTTACTCTGTAGCAAGACCAGAGACAGGTGAGAGTGATGGCAGCGAATTGCTTAATGGGTTGTATCAGTCTTTGTATTTACAGATTTACTTGTGTCCGTGTAGATACAAGGAAAATAAGTACCCAGAGAACACAGAGAAGCTGGTGATTCATAACAACTCAGGTCTGGAGGCCGAAGTCCAGTTCTGTTTCCAGCATGATACTCAGGCAACCACATTTCTGCTGAACCCCCCGATGATGACCCTCAAGCCTGGTCAGAAACAGGTACGACATCACTCACACCGTCTGGTGAGTTGCTGCTCGGGCTGGTAGTACTCCATGTGAATATTCTTCCACCCTGCTAGGAGCTGACAGTGTGGGCCTACCCAACAAAACTGGGACAGATGAAGGACAGCGTGGTTTGCCATATCAAGGACAATCCAGAGCTTGTGGTCGTCGAGCTCTCCTGCTGGGGCGTTCGACCGGAGCTGGAGCTGGAAAAGAAGCAAATGCATTTTGACCGGATTTTGCTGCACAGGTATTGAAAAATGAAAAAACAAATTCAGGGAGGACAAATTAGCTTGACAAGTGATTTTGACAAAAGAAGAAGCAGCATGATAAAATCAAAATATTGTACATTAATAACAGAGATTCTGTTTTAGTTCTTGGGCAAAGTAAACTGTCTTCTATCTCTTTGTCCTTTTCTCCGCTCGACCCACCTCCTTTCATCCTCCTCCCCAGGAGCGACACACGTAGCGTGACAATGCATAATAAGACAGCTCTGCCGGTATCCTGGAGGCTGCAAGGCGTGGAGGAGTTAGGAGACGAGTTCACCGTGCCGCAGGATCACGGCATCATCGCTCCCAACTCCTCTTTACCTTTGAGCTTGCACTTCAGACCCAGAAAGCCACTGCATGTCAAGAAGATCTTACGTCTGGAGGTGGAGTAGAACTACAGAAGCACACATGCTGAAATTGTGAATAAATATGAAATGCAGTGTGAACTAGTTCTAAGCTCAAGATCATGTGGGAAGGTCAGACAAGACTATGTCACATTTCACACACAAAGGCATTGCAAAGTGCTGGACATAGTGCAAAATTAAAATGTTTAAAAAAATGTATTAAAAACAAGACATTCAGAATAACAGAGTAGAAAAATATTTAAAGATTAAATGTAAACTTTATTTTAGGACAGGCAATTTTAATAAAAGTACAGACAAGTGTAAAACAGAATTTATGGATAATTTAAAAGTGGCACATTCATTAAAAGTAGTGGAGAAAAAGTAAAGTTCTTCATCCTAGTTTTTAAAATGTTGGGACAAATCTAAATTTCAAGGAGAGCTAACGAATGTCCCTGCGTATCTGAGAGACCCACCAAGCTTGTACTCAGAAAACATGTTGATATATTTTGAGAGTGGTGAGAAAGTTATAGAGCTTAACGAGTGCTTTGAATTCAATTCTACACTTAATTGGAAGCCACTGCAACAATGTTAGATTTCCAAGTCTAGACTTGGTGTTTGGTACAGTGTTTTAAATGAGATGGAAATGTGTTATTGCGGAGCCCAGCATAGAGTAATCAAATGTACTTTCAAAAAATGCAGAAAATCAGTTCAGATGACAATGTTTTGTTTCAGGTATCTGATGTGGAGAAGATTGTTGGAATTGTGCACACTGAAAACATACAGGTCACTGCTGAAGCCTATGATGTATCTCTGGATATCATACCAGGTACAAACCTAAACATCTTACAAACATTTCATTTAAATTTAAAAGTTCATTTTGACTTTTGTAGCCTTTCCTGGCTTTCTACCATCCAAACTAACCTTTTGACCTTTTGACCTTAGAACCACCTGAATATTTTGGTGCCACTAGTAAAGTGCTGGTGAAATGTTAAGAATGAAAATATTATTTTTCAAACTAATCGAGAGGAAATACATGCTTTAAAAAAAAAAAAAAAAAAAAATCGAGAGGAAATACATGCTTTAAAAAAAAAAAAAAAAAAAGAAGTGAATATTTATTAATTTTGCACTTTCAGCTGTGTGACAAGATTTTGGCTTTTAGTTTGATAGAAGATGTTTTAATTCTGTGATTTTTAACCCAGAATCTCACTGCTGCTGACAGTGTTCACCACTGAGTGACTGAGCTGCTGCCCAGATGTCATAGTAATGACAAATAATATACTGAATACTCTTGTTTCTGCGACAGATGGACATCTAGACTTTGGAACCATCAGAGTCTTTGAAGAGGTCAAGCTGTCTCTCAAATTGAAAAACCTCGGAAAATATGAAATCGCCTACAAGTGAGTTTGAACTGCTGGTTCTTTACTTAAGTGTATTTTCAGCTCCACGTTAACTTGATTTTACTTCAATCTGGGACTTTAATTCACTTTTTTGCTTTCCTTTTCACAAGGTTTGCTTTTGAGCGGACAGACCCAACCCAGCCAAAGCTGGACTCGATTTTCTCAGTTTCTCCCCAGAGTGGAGCTATAAACCACAACGAGAAGCCCGCCATAGTGCACATCCTCTGCAGACCCAATAAGGAATTCTCAGTCAGGGAGCAACCTATCCTGTCTTGCCAGGTTCCAACCATATGTTGATGTCATATTGGAATGAAAAGGGCTTGCTGTGTTTTGGTGCCACAAGTTTTGATTTAGAATTTTCTCTTGCTCTGATTCCTCTCTGCATGATGTCAGTGTTACATTAAATAATGCAATGAAGGCAAAATAAAAAAACTAAATATGTAAAAATAATATGTAGATATAAGGGGAAGTTGCACCAAATCTGCACTGATGCTCATTGAGCCTGAGAAGATGTTGCTCTGACGGGTTTATATGATACATTGCAGAGTCATGACAGTGCTTCAGCGTTCCCATCTTAAAATGTTCAAGATTTCCAGTTTTCTCTAGACTTGAAATTTAAAAAGGTTGGACAGTGTGTTTACAAAATAGCTTCTTTAGCAACTGACTAACTGAACTAATTTTCTTCAGGTGATTGAACCCAAAATTGGAAAAGGAGGAGAAACCATAGCCATCATAAAAATCAAGGTTTCCGTCGAGTCTGTGTTCTCCAGGTGAATGCATGATTCACACTATCATCTTTTAAAAATACATTAACGAGCAGTACAGAAACAGTCAGTACATGCCAAACAGGACTGATCTAAGCTTCTTATTTTCTTCAGATGAAGTTGTTCTGAATTGTCCTGCGCACATATGGTGATAAATTTCTGTGTGGTCACTTTCTAGATACAAGATCACACCTGTGTGTGATATTAACTTTGGCCCGCTGGCTTACGGCTCCCAGAAACACCAGAGCTTCTCCATTGAAAACAGCGGAGTCTTTGAGGCCCAGTACACCATCCGCAGCACGATCACAGACCCTTCCCTTCTCATGAGGCCCGGGTAGGAGCACAGAACACACTCAGACACGCACAAGAAAAAACACACCTCCATAATCAAACTTAGAATGGAATTGCATGTTTTCAGATGTGCCTTAAAATGTACCAAAAAATGGAGAGCAAAGAATAGCAGTTTGAGAGACGGTGTTCTTCACACTTTAGAAACAATACCAAAACATGTAATTATTATGTCACATGATAACATAATGTCATAATAATAACCTGCACATTAAGTCTTATTGGTGCAGTCTGTGCAAAGGATGTAGTTCTGTCATGATAAAAAAAAATGAAAAACTAAACTAAAACAATATAGACGTCCTGTTATTTCAATTAGGTTTCTGTATTTTGTTTTTTAATTGTGAACATGACTAGATAGACTCGTGCAACCAGATCGTGACCTTGTACCAGTCCGGTCAGTGTTAGATACAGGGCTGCAAAGAAGACAAGAACAAGTCATTTATCTCCACCTGATTCGGTTTGTAGTGCCTTTTCTCTATCTTTGCTAATGATGACCCTCTTCACCATCAGCAGGGGAAACCCACTTCCAAATACTTTCACATGTGTTTTCTGTCCGCCACCAGAAAACGTATAATAATTATAATGCTGTATGAAACAGAAAAAGGCAAACCATCCTATGCTGATTATTCATGTTAAGGCATATTGGTTAAAAAAGGAACAGTTTTCTCATGTATTGGTGCTATTTTGATATTTAGATAAACTTAAGTTTCTGCTTCACACCTCATCTTCTTCATGTTCATTAATCGTTTTACTTTACACATATTATCTTGACTAAAAATATTTGTTTTAAGGTTCTCTCCAGTCAAAAATGTTCTTTTTGTAACTTCACTTAAATGTCTGGGCATCACTCTGAAGTTTGTGGAAGGTGGAAAGTTTCTCCGTGCTCACTTTAAATCACTGCAGCTTCCATAAGTAGGACATGAAGAGGTGGAATTTCCTTTGCAAATGCATGGACAAATGGACACCAATATGAAAAATCCATATGAATTCAAAAAGGTTGAGAACTCCTGCACTGATGTGATGGCGGTGGCATCACAGTAAACAGTTTCTTACATTGCTAAAAAAAAAGTTACAAGTAATAAAAACCAATGTGGCATATGTGGGCTGTAGCTTGGTTTCATATTAATTAATTAAAAGGAAAAAAAAAGCAAACTTCAGATTGTCTCATTATGTCCAATATGTTCATCAGGCAACATCTGTGGATAAATATACCGTCCATAAGTTTAAAAATGTATTACAGTTTGCTGCACGAGTTATGTTACAAGCTTAAGCTAGTTAAAAATGTCAGAACAAGTCCAGAACACTACAACATACTGCATAATAAAATGTAGGAACGTCCACTGTGGACCTGAAAAAGTTTGTCAACCATGAACACTGAAATGTCTCAACGGCTGCCTGGAAATTATGACAAGTTCATTGTCATTAAAATGTCTTGTCATTGTCTTAGTGTAACACCTCATAACATTATTCATAAAGAACAACTAGATGTTTAATTGTTTAAGTTAAATTGTGCTTAATGTACTTCTATTCTGACCTCAGGGGTCCAGCTAAGGCGATGCATCCAGAGAGTCTCTCAGGGAGACCCAGCAGTCCCAGCGTCAAAGTGAGACAACGGTCCTGCCAGAAAGACATGAGTGGTACACAGGTAAGAGACCGCAGGACAGTTCCTGTTCACTTATGTACTTTGTGTTTGAACAACACAAGCACAAACTGCAGTGCACTAATGACAGTCGCAAAAACACAGACTTCCAGCAAAACCAGCTTGTGTTATTCTTCTTCAGAATCAGTTTCTCAGTTGAACATGTGTGGATGAATTACTCCAATATGACATCTTGCCATTGTGCAGCTTATAGTAGTTTTGCCGTGTTTATGCAGAATAGAAAGTTAGAGAACCACTTTCTTACAGGGGTCACCGAAAAAGCATTACGTGCTCATTAGTTCCCATCATGTGCGTGTAAAAGAGAGTTTTGCCACTGATTTACAAGTTGCTTGAGGTATTATTCCAAAAAGTACATTTTCTATCTCACCTTTAGTCGTATCTTTCCTGCTTATGTCAGGCATCTGTTTTGAAATTAGTCAAGCTAACATAATTAAATCATAATTAATCACAAAACAGTCTTGATTATGTTTTTTATATCGTCAAGCATCACTGTAACTTGTCAAACAGGTGTAAACAGCTGTGTTAACTTCAGCTTATGGTGCTATCATTGCCGAAAACAAAACATTGTTCATGTCAGTAGTTCCACTGGTGCATCTCCTCTATTAACAAGTCAAAATGTCTGCTGTGAAAAGGGTCTGATAATCTGATTAATTAAAAAAAAAAAAGAAAAAAAGAAAAAAGAAAAGGAGTGCTCTAATTGTGATAACGGTTCCAGTTTGCAAGATTATTAAAGTAATTAAAGACCTCCTACTCATGAAGATCATTGTTGTTAACATGTCTGTATGGTGATTTTATATCCTGGAGGGCTGTCTTGAATAAAATCAACAGTCAACACCATGGCTGGCCACTTCCACCTTAAAACTGCAGTGTCCTAAAAACACAAACTTCCAGAAGAAACAATTCCTGTTGTTTTTCTTCTTCAGAATCCATTTCTATTCTCAACATGTATGGATGAATTCCTCAGATATTACATCTTCCCACTGTGTAGCTTTTGCCTTATTTTTAGGCAGAGTAGAAGGTGAGCTGGTGTGCTCGAGCTACAGCAAGTTTGAAAGGGTGGGTGGAGAAAGAGGCAGAGACTTTGTAGAGGAAGCAACAGTGTAGAGTTACATCTAAGCCATTTTAAGGTGTGAAGAGATTCTTTTCATTGCAAAAAAAAAAATCTAAATATGTACCTTTGAGGCACAGACAATTTTTTTTACTGTTAAACCAGTGACTCGACAGGAAATTTAAAACAATATGTAAAGATGCACAATGGACAGAGTGTTGACAGCAAAGAACAGACAGAGAG